TTTATAATCAACTTCTAAATTATCTAATATAACAAAAGTGTAAGAAATTAGTCATTATCTTCAAGTTTTCCAATTTACGAGACTTCAATTGGTTTTGTTTCACATGGGCCTCTAAAACATAATTTTATTCTATGTTTTTTCAGGTTGAAATTATAAAAAATGACCGATGGACGTGTCCCGAAGAAAATCGCATTGACAGAGAGGAGGACAAAATGCCGCTATGACGGGTTGTCATCCTCTCAGCCTGAGCCAACTTTTAGGGTAGAAAAAGGATGAATGACAAATGAGGCCGAAACCCACTCATTTAAGGATTTCTGGCCGACATATACTTGAGTATCTATGGTGGATACTCGAGTATTCATCGTCATACTCGGGTAGGAGGGTAAATGTTTAGGTAAATAATTCAAGACATGATGAACTCCTTCAACCAGGACATTATACTTGAATATATTGTCCTGTACTTGAATATATGTTTTTGATCAATGGTTAAATATGAGCAGATTGATATTATATTTAAGGAAAATGTCAAATATTTTAAATAGGTTATAAACAAGAACAAAATGATAATTTTTAATTAATTAAAGGACAAATACATCAAATAGCCCAGTATGCCAAGGCAACTCTATGTGTATGCCCTTGAAATTTGTTAACTCCTTTTAAATCTAATGTGTTGATTGATTTGATTAATGTTGCCATGTTGATTTTGAATAACATGCTAATATGCCTCAAGAGACCCGGATATTAAAAAAAAATTGTCATTTTTTTAAAGCATACGAGGAAAGAAACGGGAAGAGTAATGTTTTGCATAAAAAAGCTGATCATGAAAAGTCTTGTTTAAAAAGTATCGGTCAAAGCACACATTTCTTTAATATAAATATTGGGATTAATGTTATAAAAATAACTTTATTCATGTATTCACATAAAAGGGGATGAGGTATAAAAAAAAGGAAAAAGAAAGAAAAAGTGAGTATAATGATTTCATGTAAGTGCACGAGATAAAATTATCTTTATCTTGCAGGAAAAATATTATATTTTCAATTTTGTAATTTTTATTCATTTGAGTTTTAATTTTTATAATTTTTTATAGGTCCTTATGCTTCTTCTTTTTTGTGTGTTAAGGATTTGTTTCATTATAAACTAATATCTAAACAAATTAAATTACATGAGCCAATTTTTCATAAAAAATAATAACAATTTTGTTAATGAATAAAAACTACATGAACACTTAAAATGAATGAAAAATATTAAATTTGATATCTTAACTACGAAGACAATCCAAATAAGAAAAAAATATTTTAAAAAAAACTTTAATGAAAACCCAACTTGTCAAAAACTATATAGATTAAAATATACTTTAAACCTAAATGTTTTGATAATAGTGTCAATAAAATTAAAATATATCTATACGTGTATTGGTTTATATTTTTCATTACAAAAAAAAAGTGTCTATTTTTACCACTAATCACATGACTCTCAACACATTTTCATGCTACTTTGACTAAAGCACTAATAATTCATAATATGATGACATGGCGAGGTACCATTGTGCTGGTCATGAGACACAGCACAACACACTTGCAAAAGAAGAGAGTATAAAATCCAAAAACAATAGCTCAGTGGGAGGACACAAAGCGTTGTGATTGAGCAGAAAGAAGCTGAAGCAGGAAAAGCTAGCTAACATGGGACAAGTTTGAATGAAAAGTGCTTACTAAGAACATTTGTCACTTAAACACCCATTAGTTTCTCTTCCGTCAAAATCAAAATCCTAAAAAACATGCTTATCTTTTTCCCTAAATCCCGGACGACCTTTAACAATAGCAAAAAAGTGTGTGCCAGTTTTGGAGAATGTGCACAATTCCCTTCTGACCATAAAAGTTACATGCTAAAAACCATCTTAGAGAAAATATATAAAACACACAAACAATACTTTGAGAGAGAGAGAGAAATAGGGAGAGAGATCTTTCCTTGTGGTCTTGGTCGGTCATTATGGAAGAAACAAGCTATTTTAGGGATGTCTAAAGTACCTTGTCAAAATGTACCCTTCTGCCAACCCAACTCGAGAGAGTCACATCTTTTGAGATGTGCCTTGACTAACCTTCATTCTTTCTAAATGGTAAGTTCCAAAACCTTCCATACGAAGAATGGTATACATCCTATTGCACTTCATCCCCTCTAGTATTTCATGTTCCTCTTTTGAAATGTATTGCTTTTATTTTATTTTATATCCTATAGTATCTTTAATTTATATTCCTGTTTTTTTTTTTTTTTCATATTCTAAGTTTTCTTGGTACACGAGAGCACTATGATACCATGTTCAATACTAATATTTTGCCCTTTCACTCTGGGGCCCAAACGGAGCTAACATACTATCTTTCTGCCTCTTGAAATCTTTAGTGGAGGAGTCAAGGGTCCTAGATTCAAAACTCAATCAATTGTTAAGAAACACAAATGACTAATTAATCTTAAACAAATGTAATTGAATCCGTGTGATATCTCACTTGTTTGAATATTTTTCACTTCCATTGGTTACAAAGTTTAGTGGGTCTCAAACAAGTTTACATGAGCCAACATGCTTTACTAATTGCAAAACATTGTGGAGCTAGGAAATATGATAAGAACAACAAGACGGCTTGACCCATTTGATATATGATTAGCATTGTGCTATTTCCAATGCTATATAGGCATGTGATTGAAGGCTAATCAAAGGGAGTAAAATTATACTTTCCTTATAGGAACTTTGAATTGATAAAAATGTGCCCCACTGTGCTATAGCTTTGTGGGGCGATTTAATCCAACTCAACTTGCAAGTGTCCTTTAAACTTTTCAATGCCCTTTTGACTACAGCCTTTTTATAATGCCTTTTGGAGATCAGAGACAGTAAAGGTGATTACCCTAAAATACATTTTACAGGAAAGCATGTACTCAATGTTTTTGTCACCTATTTTATGTCATTAACCATTTTCTCCGCTAGCCTTAAAAACTTTGCGGTGAACATTTATGTAAAGAACCTTAGAATACATCACTCCAAAAACTAGCTCAAAGGTGGGAGTGACCAATGTCTTATAAACTCCACATACATTAGTTGCTCATTCAACCAACGTGAGACTATATATCTCAACACGCTCCTTCACACAAGAGCTCATTAGGCTTGAAGAGTGGATAATGCAACTGGCTCAGAAAGTGGGGGCGACGAGGATCTGATACTATTTTATGTCATTAACGATTTTCTCCGCTAGCCTTAAAAACTCTGCAGTGAACATTTACGAGGTTGTCTTAGTCTAAACATAAACCACCAATAGAACTCTGTATAAGAATAGGAAATCTGTTAGCAGATATTCTCGAATATAAAATTTATTTGTCCTTGAAAGGTCCTAACTCAAGCATAATACTTTGTTTCAAATTAAAATAAAGTCTGCTGGAAATTATAAATGTGTTTTCGCATTGGAAAAAAAAAATATTATCTAAACTTTCATCTAAGAGATTTAATTTTAGATTGAGTTGTTGCTTGACACTCTTACCTGAATCAGATAATCATAACAGGGCACTCTATCATTCTGAAGAGCTAAGACCATGGTCAACTGCTATGATCATTTTCCACAAATAAACTCATATACTATCTACAATTAATATAAGAAGCATATGTAGGACAAACAAAATAAAAAATTTGTAAAGTGGACCCTTCAAAAGGGAACTTTTTATTTTAGTACTCCAGTGTGGGGTTGTTTCCATGACACAAGACAGGGAAGCCTCATACAATATGTAAAATTCTTAGATAATCTTGTGTGTAGTTAGAGATAATTTTAACTGCTCCCATTGAAAATCATGAAGCAAACAAGAGCTTTCGATGTATTTGGTTGATTATTTTGCATAAAACGCGGACTCACATGTGCATAATACATTCAGCTAGTGAATGTCATGTTAAGATTAGTACCTCCAAATTCAAATGTTTGAGACTCTCTAGGAGTATGAAGACAAAACCACGCAGTTGTTTTCCTTTTGTGGTTTTGTCTGGGGTTGATTCCAGCATAATAAGATTTTATTTCTACCAATCATTTAGTCATCCAGGAAAGTTCACCAAAAATGTCACTATATGTATTATCTCAAAAAACAAACCTTAATTAGGTCAATATCTATCAGGCCTAGAGCAAAAATCAAGGTAGAAATTTTATGTTAGATATCTCTATGCATGAATAAAAAAAATAACTATAGTAATTTATAGGGTCAAGCTTTTCTTTATTTGGTTCATATCTTAAATTATTTTTTCCTTGTATTGAAAAGAGCACAAGAGAGCTTATACCAGGTCAATTCCAGGTAGTTAATTGATTGGCTTGGTCTTGACACGTGAACTGATATGCATAGAGATTTAATAATTTTGTCAATCCTTATCAAATCCCAACACAACCTTGCATGGACCTGATGTAATAATTACCTCACTTATTAAGTTTTAAATTATTCGCTGGGTTACATTACATTACAATACTATTGTAATAGATCTATTTTCCAACTTATTAATAAATCTATGTTTGTGCTTATTACTAAGTTACAGAAAACACATTTTAGACTGTCATTGGAACTAGGAAGAAAGTGACTGTTGCAAAGAAATAAGAACTCAAAAGTGCAGTGCGTAGAGCCCCATTTAAAGCACTTGACAAGTGAAGGGAATCTTTATTATCACTGTTTAGTTGCAAGTCTTAAGTAAATAGGATAGAGAACTAGAGATTTAATAGAAATAAGAAAAAGAAAGATTTTAAAAGTAGGAGGAAAGGAGAGGATGGTCTTCCAAAGAATGACATCTGCAAAATGTCCTTTTTTTTCTTCTCTCCATGATCAAGTCACATCTTTAAAAGACTCCCCACGACTTCTCCCATTCACCATAACCTTTCACTGCTCTTTCCTTCTGCACTCCCATTCTGTTCTGTACTCTCTTAAGTGGGGCACTATTTAACTTCCCATATCTTACCTTTACATTTTTCTCACCTCATTCAATCCACATTTTCTTTGCCTTTTTCTTAGCCATGTCCACCTCTAGAACCTCAGATACATCCTTCAAAGGATATGAACCCAATCAAACCCAAATGTGTCTATCTCTTCTTCAACGCAATACATCAACTCCTTCTGGTGAAAGAAGGGGGAGAAGGAAGCAAGCAGAACCGGGTAGGTTTCTTGGGGTGAGAAGGCGTCCTTGGGGTAGATATGCTGCTGAAATTAGAGACCCTACAACTAAAGAAAGGCATTGGCTTGGCACATTTGACACTGCTCAAGAAGCTGCTCTTGCTTATGACAGAGCTGCTCTTTCCATGAAAGGCAACCAAGCAAGAACCAACTTTGTTTACTCTGACAATATCAATTTTCACAATCTTCTTTCTCCTATGGATGTTCAAGCTCTCTTGCCACCTTCACAGTTCATCACTAACACTCAGAGCAAACAACCAACCAATCAAAATAGCCAGCCTCAGCTTAATACTTCCCACGGTGAAAAACCTCTCTCTCCATTGAACAATGACATGTGTGTTGAAACTGCTGCTCATGGATCAGTTCAGGATGATAGTTTCTTCTTTCCCAATGATTCTAACTCGGGCTATCTGGAATGCATAGTTCCTGATAATTGTTTCAGGCCTGCTTCCAGTACCAACAGTTCAAACTCCAGAAAGAGCAATGTCAGTGCATCAAGTGATCAACATCATCAAAAGGTTAGCTCCGTTAACACAAGCTTCATGGAGAGTCAATCAAATCTTGACATGGCTTCATTCTCACAAGAAGCCATGAAGATGCCACCAAGGGCTTCTAACTTTTCAGATTTTTCTTATCCAAGTGAACTGAGTCAAGGATTATGGGATGATCAGCATTCATGGGATTGGGATTCTAGTGAACTTTCAGCTATATTTAATAACCCATTGAGGGTTGAAGATGGGTGCATGGATACACTGTATCCTATCACTGACAGTCCAAGCTATGGGCTAATGAATCAAGCTGCTTCATCAAGTACCTTTTGTCCATCACTTCCACCCTTTGGGGACGTAGACTTGGGATACCCACTCTTCTGAGCTCTGAAAGAGGTGCATTTATCAAGGAGAGCCTTAGTAGTATGTGTACTTGCATTGCATGCACATGTATGTTTTTTTTTGTTTTTTTGTTTTTCTTGTAACTTGGGTCTAGCAAGCAAGCCTTTTTCATCTTCTAATGTAATTACTAAATCGCACGCATGGGGTTTGAGCTCTTTAGGTTTGAAGATGTTGAAAAAAGCTCTCACTTTCAAATCAATGGAAAGTCATTCCTGTGATGCTTTTGTTATAATTAATATTTATATATGGTTTGATGCATATTGATAGCATGATTTTGTCCTTCTTTTCGGCTAGTTGCCTAAACTTTTGGCTACAATAAAGGTAGTGATAGATGGCACAAGAAGCATCCATCAAACAGAATAGGTTCACAGAAAGATATATTGACATATGCCGATAACCCGCGATTCTAATGATCTATTGCTTGCAGGCAGTACATTCCCTTTTGCTGACTATTGATTGATAAGATTATTGTTTTTCCTTTCTTTTCCCTTTCCCTTTTCTTTTGCACACTTTTTTGTGATCCACGTAAAAGCTGGATGTCCAATTCTTTATTTTTTTATTTTTTATTTTTTGATAGAGAATCGATGGTGGTGAGGATTTCATTAGTACATAATTATACTAAGTAACGACTTTGAAGTTTGAATAGTAATTTAGTATAGCCTAAGCAGGTCCCACCATCAATACAATACTCCTTGTTTTTAGTATATGTATTATGAATTATTTGTCCTCGTTTAGGATCCAAGATTGGATTGTACATTATTATAACGGTCCTATGTTGAATTGCAGAGGACGCTCTCAAGCTATTTTAAGCAGTTATTTCATATATGATCTATTTGGCGATGTTCCTGTTTCAAAACTGATTTGGCTCTTTTTCTTATCTTGTCCTGCAACGTTGATGAAAAATCCAATGACCCAATTATGGAGATACAAAGTATCATAGATACCTTGTTAAATGAATTAAGAATAGCCAAAGTCCGATTCATCTCACAAAAGCTTGGAAAGAAGCAACAAGAAATAGTTGGACAAGAGATTTTTCCGAGTTCAGAGGCTCACTGTCGCTTGTACCAACAACATCTATTGTTAACTAAGTCGATATATAGATCCAAGTGCAAAACAAGAAGTAGAAACTAGAAATTTCAGATTGGACCACTGAAAACTGGGATTTGCTTGAAATGAAGACAGGATCAAATTCTGAAGACCGGTTTCAGATTTGACCATTTTTTTTTTTTTTTAATATTTCAATCGGTTCGCAACTATCCGAATGGGGGTGAGTACAGAATTAAGACTTTAAATCTCTTCCAAATGTGATACTAGAAAGGATCGAACACATACTCTCACCCTTACCTACTTAGCTTCTATTCGCCAACTGAACTATCACCATTTGATCAATTTGTGAAGATTTATTTGTTGATACCGGGACATATAAGAACTTCACTTGGAAGTCGCTACTCTTACTAGAAAAAAAACAAACTTCCAAAGTTAATTTGCCTGTATAATTTATAATTAAAGGTGTATATATCATTGGTTTATTTTAAAGTATATTATGGTCTTATTTCACTAAAATACAACCCTACTTGTGCACTTTATAAACAAGTTCACTTCAGAGGAGTGTTATCCATTCCTACAAGTGCAATGATTACTCACACAGACTTCTTGTCCTAAGAAGACATGCACTTGATCTTCGTCTCTGAATTCCATTGTATGTTGCATTCCATGAGGCATGTAACATTCCATTTGTAATTAATGAAGTTAAATTTAGCTAGAATGGTAATTAATGAAGTTAAAAATACGAATGAACTTTTTCTCCTTGTAAATAGCTAAGCAACTTTCATAAAGAAACCAGATCATTTTCATGACTAACTCAAAAATGGGTTTCAAGATTGAAGCAAAAATGATGGTTCAGCCAAGGGAGAAGAAGAAGCACGATGGAGATGAAAAATTTGGAAAAAAAAAAAAAAAAAACCAAGGGTTTAAGTGACTTTCATGACTTTAATCATCTTTGTCTTTGGTCAAAATATCTATTTAGTCAATTACTCATTTACCCTTCTTGTTTAACTCTCTTCTAATCAATGAATTAGAACATTTAACATATGTTCTAAGACTCACCAAAATCAAGAAATAATTTCTCACTAAATCATTTCTAAATTTTAGGTAACTTTTGTTTAATTACATTTTTATCTCAAAACTTTCACTATTTATACTTTGCCCCGAAAAATAACTTAACTTCGAAAAATTAAATTTTTCATCTAATCAATCACTTTTAACCATTAAATAATTCCAAATTATTTAATTTAATTATTTGGGTTATTATATTACACCCTTTCACTTGAGTAAATTGTATTCTCTTTAAAATACAATCATCTTACAACAAACTATGTAGAAGCGGGGTGATAAAAAGAAACAAAAAAGTTTAAATAAAAAATTCCTACAGAAAATCACCTGATCTCCCACGAAAGCATGACCAAGTAAAATATTATTACACATTCAAATGTGTTAATTTAAATGTGTTTCTTCATATATGTATTCTGTAATAAATTTAGTACCATGTCAAGCATTTCACTTGTCATAACATCACTGTGTATCGAAAATGTGAAGCCTTCATTGTATTCTCCTGATTACTTCTCTTCGTGGTAAACCTTAGATAAGTTGGGAACAGTGGCTTTAACAGGACCTTCAAAGCAGAATTAGAATATCATTCCCAAATGCAAAAAGAAAAAGGGTTCAGGTGAAGAGAACACGTGGTCAATGAAACTCTGGACAGATTTTTTCCCATACCAAAAAAGATGAAGCATAAATAAGCACAACAAACTACGAAAATTGGAGATGAGGATGGACGTGTGCATAAAGGACTTGAAGATTCTTTTGAAGTTATTCAAAAGCAAGGTACGTGTATGGGTTGCTAAAATTCTCAAGGCTGGCCATGGTTTATTCAAGCTCAAAGGGATGGCCACAAAAAGATTATATGAACACAAAGATATATGGTGCATTGTGTAATAGACCTGAATGTGGAACTGGGATAACTGAAAAATGAGACCTATTTGAGGACCTTTTTGAATAATGATGTCCGGTTGAAAAATTGAGATAAAAAGGAGTAATAATGAGGAATGCATTCACATTGCTTAGCTTGAGGTGTGAGAGACAGTGCTACTCGTGGTGGCATTGGTGGTTGCTAAAGGACTTGAACTCTGAGCAGATGGTTGGGTGCTTGATTGAGAAATGGGTCCAATAGTTGACGAGGTCAAGCCAACTGATTCAGTCGATGTGCTCATTGATGAAGACATTCTAGATGAAACAGACTCCTTGTTTGATCCTGAGGCAAGTTCAGGCCGCAACTCTGACGATGAAGATGATGGGGCAAGTGTACCAATTGTGGAACCAACAGGATAGGGTGCAACCGGCATATCAGCAAGGGAAGAAGCAGATGGACTATATCTTAGTGATCCCATAGGATGATCAAATTTGCAAGCAGAACCAAACTTACAAATTCCACGCTGTGTATAATGAGTACAAAGTGCTGCTCCCTGATTATCAAACACAAACATTGGATGCTTAATAATTAAGAATTTATGAATGCAGTCAGACAATATATAGAGAGAGGGAGAGAGAGAAACATTTCAACAGTATAGGTAAATTTATCATTGCAGTGACAGTTCTTTAAACAACTGAAATCAAAATAAATTAAGATACTTGCCTATTCTTCAACCACAGTCCAAAGACAGAATATTATAGCATTAAGAAGACAAAAATAATAGCCAAAAAGATCATTAAAGACTAGTCTATCATGACTGGGAATAGCAACATGAAATAAAACGAGGAAGTGTGCCATGAAACATCCACATCTGTCTATAACATTGAAAATAGGAAGCACCCCTAACACAAAATCACAAGAATGAAACATGAAATTTACTCATGAAAAAAAAGTTTGAACAACTCAAGCTAGTATAGGAATATAGCATTGAGAGGAACAGCAGCTAACAGAATATATGAGCACCTATGCACTTCACATACAAACTTAGCACTGTCAAACATTTCAGGCAAATAAACTGATGGCAATTAACTCCATACAAAACCCAAACAGTATACTTACAATTCCTGTATCATAACTTCATATCGGAAAGGCATTCCATAATAGAAATATATTGCCAGCATAAAAACAAGGAAAAGAATATAGAATGCTCGAATAGTCAGAACCTTAGCTTTATTGATGATAAATTTACAATATATGGAAATTAAATTGGAAATAACACAAGTTATTGCATAATCAAACAAGGAAAACAGTGATGCCATGAAAGATGCATAAGGTTAAATAAATTATGAAGCATTTAAGAACATGTTGAGGAAAAAGTACCTAAATAGCACTCAAATGATATATAAAAACTAAGTGAAGAAAAGGGCGTAATACAATGTTCAATGAAAAAGAAATAAGAAAACAAAAATATACCCAATATACTGTTTAAAACATGTGCTTTATTGAAATTGTTCAACTGATTGTTAGAAATATTAATAGAATTAACTTACACCGTAAGTCCCAATAGTTATACAAAATCTTCAAATTCATTCCTAGGTTCCTATAAATTATAAAAAAAATTAAAGAGTTGCAAAATGTTTCAACAGTTCAAGTGCTCATACTACACAATATTCCATGCCCTGGCAAAGAACATATCCACAGCAAATTTTTTGAAAGAGCTTACATCCAGAACTTGCCCTTGGGCATGGTCACAGTGATATGCTAGAGTTTAAACAAGACTACACCAAAAGAAAGGAACTGGATGCACCCTTAAAATGAATGTAATACAACCCAACATGAATGCATAATACGTAAAAATAGAAAGATAAAAGATTACCATCCGAGAAAAGAGTTAGTTTAAAATAAAAACCAAAGGCTAAAACAACAAATGCTGCTATTTGTTTTTAATGATGAATTGAAAACCAAACTTTAAGTTCTGTAAAGCAAGGTTCATCCTATATAAAAGCAATCATAAAAAATGAATCCGACAAAGTTAAGATGTAATTTGTGATACCTCACAGTTAGCTATTTTAATCACTGTTTAAATATTGATCGTAGATATGTTGTTCATAATCCAATATGAAGCACCAAAGTACAAAGGAGTTGAAAGGTAATGATTACCGGGCGCAAAGGAAGACCCACAGGACTAAGGTTCACATTCACTCTTGATGCATTCATATCAGGTGGATGATGATATCTACATGATGGACCAAATTTACACTCCCCTGTTTTCATGTAATAATGACATTCTGGTTGATCAGGCCTTTCTGGAAATGAGTGCTCCTTCTGACTACTGCCCAAAGGACCAATTGAGGAATCAGAAGGTTGATAAGGACCAGCATAGGAGGAATCAGAAGGTTGATAAGGACCAGCATAGGCAGTCGCCAACGAAGGTAGATGGGTTATCCCATAAGGTTGCGTTGAACCAACATTAGACGGAGTACTAGAAGGAAGTACAGGGCTTGATGCAGGACCCTGCACCAAGAGCTCAACAGCTTCAACGAATGCACATATAACTTGAGTGAGCAGTCAAAAGGAAGTGCTGGGCCTACCTGATAAGGACCCCAGCCTGAAAAGGGGAGCATGGCAGGGGACACTACCACAGGCCCATAGGGGCCATGGACTAATGAGCCAGGTAGCAGAGGCGGCCTTGCCACCAGTAAACCATATTGTTGTGATGAAGGACCAGATGGAGGCTGTACAGTTGGATACATTGGTGAAGGTACTGGTACAGGCAGAGGTGAAACTGGGGGAACTTGTGCTGCTGGAATTTGGATGCCCGCAGGCTGTGGATGATGGAATTTACAAGTTGCACCAAACTTGCATTGTCCCGTCTTCACATAATAGGAACACTCTTTCTCACCCTGTTATTATTTATAAAAATTCAAGTTCAGAGCAAACTTTTTTTCATGATTATAAAAATATGACCCCAGTCCCCAACATTCACAAAGCATATATGCAATAAGTATAAAGTGATACAGACCATTCTCAATGGATATCCATAATAATTTAGTGACACGGGGGTAGCAGTTCCTGCTGCCTGCCTAGGATGGTGGTACTTGCACGATGCACCAAATTTGCAGGATCTTGTCCTCATATAATACTGCAGTTTAAGCATGAGCAAATATGATCAATACAAAAGGAAGGTCACTGACTTTGAAGGCATAAAAACAAAATATAAGTCAACTTCACTCCAGCCTTGACATATAAAAAACTGCTGAAAACATTATTTTTGCACAACAAAAAAGGAATTACAGTGTCAGTTGTCAAATGCAATCATTTGATACATGTGAAGCACAAAGTTTAGTAGAACCAGATTAAGCACCTGGCACACAGGCTGTCCTACTCGTTCTGGATACTCCACTCCAGTCCTCGCAGCTCCAATAACCTAATAAGCACACAGACATATCCCCAAATTATGAAACGTTCCATCAGAATATCCAATGCAGACACCTTAATCTCAGATAGTAAAGTAAAATTAACCGAAAAAACAGTAAAATTCAATGACATGAACGCAACCCTACCAAACAAATTCAAAACAGTAAAATGAAACGTTCTAATTTTTCAAGCTTAGCTCAAATAAACTGCAAACACAGCAAAGATCAAAACGCAGTTGGACACAGAAGCGCATGATCACAACAAGAGCCAAACAAAACCCTTCAAGCAAACACCCAAATACGAATTAAAAACAACAAATTTACCGCGCCACGGTCATGGGGATGATTGAACCGACACCGCGGGCCATAACCGCAATAACCTGTTCTCAGAAAGTGGATACAATCAGCCTCATCGGGTCGTTGAGGGTACGATTCGCCAACACCCAATCCCGGTCCCCACACAGACTCTGCATTCGCAAAATCAAAGATCAAACCCACTTTCATTACACTCCACATTCTGCCCAAACCGCAAATCAAGAATCGCTTAAACACAACACAACACATAAAAGGAATTTAGAATGCAGATACAGTTACCTTCAAGGCCCGTCTCTCCGCCGGTGACGGTCCATTCCGGCGACGGATCAGACTGCGACCCTTCGCTGGCTCGGCCGTACCGCTCCATTGTACGGACCAAACGTGGAAAAACGGTGCAATCTGAAAAAAGCTTCGGAAAGCCGAACACAGAATGAGAGGTTCCGATCAAAAGGGTGTGAAACTAGGTTCGGATTTTCTGAGTTCACACACACTCTCTCTCACACACACACAGAGAGAGAGAGAGAGAGAAACACACACAGCGTCTCTGTTTCTTCTACACTAGTTTGGTCTCTTTCTCTCTCTAGTTTCTCTCTCTCCCTCTCTCTCTCTCTCTCTCTCTCTTTTTCCGTTTTCAAAGCGTTTTTAATTTATGATCTATTTCTTTCCTTTCAGTGCCTCACTTCGAGAGAAGCTTTTTTTTTTTATTGGTGGGAGAGTTTGTTGGTTTATTTATGTACGCGCCAAACATCTCACAAAATTACCAAAAATAATTATCCCGCCATTAATTATGTTTTTATTATCATAATTACAATATGTTCTGTTTGGAATTAAAAATTTATATAAAAAATATAAAGATTGGGGAATTATTTAAAAAAAAAAAACTGATATGTGCTTGAGTTAAGGAGATTCAGAATTTTAAACAAAATAAGTTGGTGTGAGATTTTTGGCCCATAGAGAACTTTAGCTTCTGCTTGTGGGTAGTGTATGTAGTGTGCACAGGTACTAGGTGAGAGTCACTATACTACGGGATATGACAGATTTGTCCTTTTGTATTAGAATTAATACAAAAAGTAATGAAGACGTTGATTAATTTAGCCCTTAATTAATCCTCATGGGTCATGGGTCTGTGTGGCTGATGACTGCAGATGCAAAAAGAATCATGAAATAGATGTTGTTGTCTCCACGTGGCGTAAAAGAAAGATCTTCCTTAAAAGTGGTAAAAAGTTCACATGAATTTACTACTATGTTACTCTGTGATTTTGGGATCCTTTCCCTTACACTGAATTTTGGTTCCGTTATATCAACTATGAAGTCCCAACTTAACCAGCTTCTTAATCTCCAATCTTACAAGTATAATAATGAAAGCAACATCAGCATGAACAGCTTTAACTGTGAAAAGAGTGTTAAAGTTTGGGGAAATATTTGAATAATTTACCTAAAAAAAAAAAAAAAAAAAAAAAGTAAGAATTCATTTTTTCTATAGTCAATGTAAAAAATTTATCTATATTGAGTTCAAAATGATATTGTTTTGAGACAAAAATTAAAGTATTTTTATAATTATAATTTATTTCAATGTTATAATAATTTTTTTATTATAATTTTTTAACCTAAAATAACATTATTTTGAAAACGAATATAAATAATTTATCTGTGTTCATTAAAAATATTAAAGCCAACAAGTAATTTTGATCGATATAAAAAAAAATGGACAGTTTTCATTTCACCAAAGATTATTAATCTCTTTCCATTGTCGGATTTAGATTTCGTTTATGATTGAATGTGTAATAAAAATTCACTTTATGTCGAAAGGTGATTGGTTGGTTAGCACACAGAACATCTGCAATCTACGTACTTCAAAGATGCAGAATTTTAGGCTGGATAAAGACAATTAAATATTATCTTTTGTTATATTCGATAATTCTATTCGTTTTTTCTTTTCCGCTAACTTCTTCGTCTCGTGTGATAAACAATTTTCTGTCAGCCTTTTATCTATACCACCCTTCAATTATTTTGCTCAGCTACTTGGTGTTACGTTTTTATTGTTATCATAATGTTGGATTCATAAAGCTAGCGAGTTAGAATATATTCAATAGACATACATAACTGTTTCAATGCATTCTTTGTCTAGAACCCAAATAACGCATTTGTCATAATACAGAGTGTTAATTATCATAACCTATTTTTTCGTACTTTTTACCTTGTTTTCATAAATTCGTTTTAGTAAAACCTGAACACCAATAATGACAATAATTATGACAGCTCTTTTTTTTTCTTAAAAAAAAAAAATTGTTGCGAATAAACACGCAACTAAGCTTGAATTTAGTATTAGCTTTTATAAGTTATGATTTAAGTGGTGAGGGCGACATCTCTTATATTAAAAATATATTTTATGATTGATTAAAAAACCCATTTCAGTATTTCACGATAAATAAATTTCATGTTTATTATTTGTCAAAAAATGTTGTTCCGGGCATGCTTCTCCAATTATGTCTTTTAAGCTTTGTTTGAGAGTTTAGAGGAGAAGTAAAGGAAGGGGAGTAAGGGGAATGGAGGGAAAAGAAAGGAAGGTAATTGATGGGTATTATCTTCTCTTGTTTGGGAGTTAAAAAATAGTAAGGGAGAAATTTTAACTAGAAATGTGATATGTAGAAAATTTTGATGGAAATATTTTTCGTAAAAAAATTTGACAGAAATATTTTCGACAATCTTTGACGGAAATATTTTTCCTTGAAAAGTTTGACGGAAATATTTCTATTGAATTTTCAACGGAATTTAGATTTTATCAAGAATTTTAACTGAATTTTTTTTCGAAAAAATATATGTCAGTGATTATGGCCAAATCTTGTTTTGTCTGTATTTTTCACGTAATATGATTTTTGTCAAAAATTTCGTCACTATTTTTGACGAAATATTTTTCGTCGATAAATTTTGTCAGTATTTGAGACTTTTCTATTAATGTCACATTTAAAAATGATTCATATTTATGTAGATTTTACATTTTATTGCTAAGAATAGATAAGTAATTTACAATATTTTTTCCCTTGAACCCCCAAACTTGGAGAACTTTAATTTTAAGGATTTAGAGGATTTTGCAAAAATCCACAATTCCCTTCCCCCATTTTTTTAAACTCACAAACAAGGGAAGAGATTAATAAAACCCTCATCTTCCCTTCCTTTCCTTCCAAAAACCAACTCTCAAACAAAGCCTTAGTAATCAAGGAACAAGGCATTGAAATAGGAAGAAGGCCACCTAAACTAAAAATATAGAGTCACTTAGGGGGCGTTTGGTAGAGGAGAAATTTTTTGATGACTAGGAATCATGATTATCAGGAATATGATAGGAAAGTGAATTATCTGGGAATGTTATAAAAAAGTTGTTTGGTATGCGAAAATATTACTGAGATATTGTGGTTAAGTTTACTGAGTCCTTGTTTGGTTGACTGTAAAATATTAGTGGAAATTTGAGGTTATTTTACAAAAATAACCCCACCTTCATTTTATTCTTGAAAAAATGATAATGAACATTTTCTTGCTTTCACAGAGAAAACGATCTCTCAAAAGAGACAGAACCATACATGGTAAAGTCATTAACAACAGTTTAATACTCCCAGGAGAGAAAAAGGGTTACAAACAGTTTAAGTAAACTTAACATAGTTTAGCGGTGATAGTTAGAGAGAAATGAAGGTGTTGTGCATTGTTGGTGGTGGTGCCTCAATGCTTTCGGTTTTGCGTTTCCTTCTCTTCTTCTTCGTCGTCATCGGGATCCAGATCGGTGCGTATCTTCTACTTTTTTTTACATATTCTTTCTATTTATCTCTTACGCAGTCCCGTGATTCCTATATTGTGAATTAAATCAGGTAAAACAAGCGGAAAGATGAAGAAACGAAGACAACGTTATGGAGAAGAAGGGCACATTTGTCCAAACAAAATTGTATCCAAATCCCTACATCCAATAAATAAAAAATACCACCCCTTTGGTGGTATTTTGAGAAGCGAAAATAACTCACAACTTAAACATAACATGGAATCTAGGGCAAATTAGATGGCCAGACAAATATTGTGAAAACTTCTATCAAACATGGGTATATATAAATTCCATTTTCACTTTCTTATCATTCTAAAAAAATTACTCATACCAAACAGCCCTTAGGGATGTTTGGCATAGGATATATATATATATATAAATTTGTATTCAGAAAAAAAGATTTCTAAAAATATGGTAGGAAATTTTTTTTTACGGGTAAATAACAAAAGTGTTTGGTATGCCAAAATTTTACCGGGCAGATGAGATTAATTTTATTGATGGTATGTTTGGTTGATGGTAGAATATTGAAGAAAATTTCAATAAAAATTACCAAATCACCCATAATTTTTTAATTTTGTATCTCTATTGTCAAACGTTCCTTTTGTGTGTTGTCTCCCTATGTCCAGGTTGGAATAGTTGTTTTAGAAAATCAGATAAATCTCCTCTCTTCCTCTATCCGGTCAAGAACTCATCCACACCGACAAAAGCGGTATGCCGCCCTGTCCCTCTGTCGTCCACATCCTCTGGTTGTAACCCATCTCGTTTGCTATCGAAACTCACCAATTGCGAACCCCAATGATTGTCGTTTAGAGCCAACATTGGGAACAACGCTACAGACTGCACCTGCCCCTGCATTTCCATACTTAAGATCTTGGTCTGTTAACATTTTTTGAGATAATCCATAGTCGGTGGTTGTGATTTCGATAAACATCCATAAAAAAACCCTGTTTATCAGAAGGGCATTATGTTCTGAATTCGTTAAAATCAAAACCGGAGTACAAGGGAAAAAATACCATAGGCTGGGGGAAATTTTTTTTCCAGTAGTTAGTGTAAATGTGAATTGACGGAAGAATTTTTTTGCAGGGAATTAATTATAATACTTTATACTAAACATGGACAAAAAATTTCCCCATCCCACTTCTCCATCATTCTAAACAAAATCTCTGTACCAAACGCCGTCGGCAACACCTTATTCCATTCATGTACTTTGGATGCATAGTCCCCATCGTTCAGTAGGGCATTCAATTCAAATATCCATAGCCACCGTTAAAAATACAAAAGAAGAAGAATAAGAAAACACCGCACTTCTGCACCATCATCAGATTAAGAATATAAAATATGACATGTAAAAGACGAAAATAACGATGGCAAGAACGAAGGTTTTTTGACTCTTTTACCCTTCATTAATTAATTAATAACCATTTTACCCCTTATTCAAAACTATCTATCAATTTGTCAATCTTTAATCGATTAACTTGAATATTTAATCGATTAAATGGTCAAAACAGGAAAAAATGGTTGACTCGAGATTTGATCGATTAAATCTCCCTATTTAATCGATTACTTCTCCCAACAGGCAACAAAGGTCAAATTTCCTCCATAAACAAAAGCAGATTCCATGCATATGAAGCAAATCAACAAGCATAGATAACCAAACAAAGAAAGAAACCAACAAATTCACCTTTTGAATTTACTCTTCGGCAAAGGAATACTCAAAGCTGTAATCACCACAATCATCATGAACTGAAGGAACACCACCTTGTCTCAGTTTTTTCATAAGTGAAGCCATGCATGCAGGGTCAAGTTTCAATTTGAAACCAACAAAAAAACACACTTTTGACTCTAAACTCACAAACCCAATTTACTGCTTATGGTGTTTTCTTCAATCTTCGTTTAGTTTTGTAATGTCCCACATCGGTTGGAGAGGGAACGAAGCATGCCTTAAATAAGAGTGTGGATACCTTTCCTTGAGGGAGGCTTTTTGGGGGTAACCCAAAACGTAAAATCGTGAGCTCGACGGTGCTTGTGCGCGGGGCAAAGCGGACAATATCCTCACTGGACAAAGCACGCTGAAAAGTCTCGTGTTAGTGTGTGGGGATAGTCGTTGATCCTTGTAACGCCTGACAACTTGCAAGGATCAACGACTGTCCCCACACACTAACACGAGACTTTTCAGCGTGTTTTGTCCTCACTCGCACACTTCCTGGGAAAACTTTCTAGGAGGTCACCCATCCCAAAATTGCTCTAAGTCAAGCACGCTTAACTGTGGAGTTCTTCCGTTCTGGGCTACCGAAAAGAAGATGCATCTTGTTAGTATATGTAGTACCAATTAATTCTTATAAACCATTCCTAACTGTACCGTCCCATACCAGCACAGTCTCTGGAATCTCTCTCTTTCGGGTGTTGATTCGATTCATTCATGAACCCCCAAGCTGCAAGATTTGGCATGAGCCGCTCATTGTCCTTGCCCTTTCGCACCGGCGATCACTCCCTGCCCTTGCCAGCTCTTGGGATGTTACAAGTTTTAATTTAAATATTTGAAACAAGAAATTAGGTAATATCAATAATCAATAATTGAAAAAAATTAGGCTTGCGAGGCAAACTAAACGATGTAGAAGATCTGCTCATCAAGAGGTAAATTTGTTGGTTTCTTTGTTTGTTTGGTTATCTATGCTTAGTTGATTTGCTTCATATGAATTGACTCTGCTTTTGTTTATGGAGGAGATTTGACCTTTGTTGCCTGTTGGGAGATTTAATCGATTAAATAGGGAGATTTAATCGATTAAATCTCGAGTCAACCATTTTTGCCTGTTTTGACTATTTAATCGATTAAATATTCAAGTTAATCAATTAAAGAAGGGCAGATCGGTAGATAATTTCGAATAAGGGGCAAGATAATTATTAATTAATTAATAAGGGGCAAAAGAGTCAAAAAACCGACAAGTATGCATAGTATATTCTACTTCAGTTTTCTACTTATCCTTTCTTCTTAATTGTGTGTAGGAAATTTTTGCTGTATCATGATATTTCATTTATCATAAATAAAATAATATAAGTAATATAACAAGTACATATTAACATTGCAATTTTTTTAGAGTAAATACTCTTTTTGGTCCTCAGCAAATTTCACGATGCCCGCTTTAGTCCCTAGTAAATAAAAAGACCCATCGTGGTCCCTAAGGGTGTGCATGACAACCTTCCCGGAATCAGTTCTTTTTTAATTTATGTTATCGGGAACAAAAATGGATAGGAAACTCGTTTAATAAAACCGATTTATTTTTTTGTTTCTGGGATGAACCAATTTAATTTTTGTGCTGGGGAATAGAAAAAAGAATAAAAAAAAATCTGCTTTTTTGTTCTCTACACAAAATGAGAAACACTTCTCTCTCAATTACTCTCCAACACTACCATCATCACCACCACCATCATCCCGACATGTCCACCGCTACCATTGTCGCTGTTGTCGTCATACCACCAGTGTCGTTGTCACCACCACCACGATTCCACCACACCATCACCACCACCTCCACCTATCGCCATATCACCACCACCACCATCGCCGCCACTGCCACTACTGCTACAGCTACTGCCGTCACCACCACCACCATCATCGCAGCCACCGCTGTCACCACCACCGCTCTCAACTACCACCACCATCGTCGCAATCAATGATGTCTCCACCACCACCATGTCATTACCATTACCCCCACCACTACTGCCACCGCCACCACTATCACCACCACCATCATGTCATTATCGCCGCCGCCACCACTGCCACCACCATCGTCGCAGCCACTGTCGTCACCACCATTACCACCGCCACCAACTACCACCACCGTGGTCGCAGCCACTGCTGTCTCCAGCACCACCATATCATTACCACCACCGCCGCCGTCAACACCACCATCGCTACAGTCAGTGTCGTCACCACTACCACCATGCCATTGCCACCGCCTCCATCGTCGCAGCCACTACCGTCTCCACCACCACCATTACCACCGCCACCACCACCGTCAACTACAATCACTGTCGTTCCAGCCACTGCTATCTTCACCACCACCATGTCATTACCACCACCACTACCATCGCCACTATTATCACCACCATGTATGCCATCACTGCCGCCGCCACCACCACACCATATGAAAAAAAAATGTGTAATATGAAAAAAATTTATGCTTAAGAGGAATTATATTTTATTATATTATTTGTTATGTTATCAAACACAGTTCTCGTTCTCGGAATAAAATTAGAATATGTTATAAAACAATTTTTTTTCTCATCAATTGTTCCAAGGCACATAAATAGAAAATAATTATTTCTTTTCATAAATAGTGCTAGGGAACAGAATGGTTGTCATGCACATCCTAAGAAATTTAAAATGAACCCATTTTAGTCATTTTAGAGACTAATATGAGTCTTTTTTGAATTCGTGAGGGACCACGATTTCAACTGTTCATCTTGAATTTCTTAGGAAGTACGATGGACCTTTTCATTTGCTAAGGACTAAAACGGACATCGTGATCAAAAAAGATATTTACCTTTTTTATAATAAAACCGGCTTTAACAAAAGTGATTCAACTTTGTACATTTTACTCTCTTTTCCCCCCCCTAATCTCGTGTAACCTTGCGGGGAAGGTTTAATGGCGAGTGGATACTCTCTGCTCAAACGCGCGTGAAACTGACTCCGTGGCTGAAAGATTTAAAAAACGTTGACAGGGATGGCGGTATCAGTCGGTGACAAATGAATGAGAGAAAGAACAAAGGGCTGAGATCAGATCTCAGTCAATAAACCGACGGCAGAGATGTATCTGAAGATCCGTACAGGCGTGGTGTGACGGCGATATGTGGTTGATTATGACCGGATGCAGCCGGTGGTTAATATCGTGGCGAATCGCTTGGACAAGCATTGAACACTTTTTCAAGATTTGGCGCAATTACTCTTCTTTTTTTGGACGCTACTTCCAAATCAAACCCCACTTTTTCCAATTCCACTCACGCACCTACCCAAATGTCGGTCAGATTTTTTCTCCCCTTTTTTTTTTTCCCTTTAATTATTATTATTATTATTATTTTGAAACAATCCTTTTAATTATTTATTACTTATATTATTTACCGTGTTTTAATTTTTACAATTTAATCATTTCATTTTACCATAGTCAAAAATGAATTTTTTTTAGAATAATATTACTTATGTAAATATCACGTTTGCCAGTGTGGTCCTTTTCTTGGTTCATCCATGTTGAGATCCACCCGTCTCCACCTGAAGAGGGATGATAGTTTTGAGACATTGACAAGAACGTTGCCAACCCCAAAATGCTATCCTTTTATGAAAATCCAGCTCTACCCATCAATTCTCAAATTCTGCACTACCACCTCCGATCACAATAATCAATGAGTGCACAACCACAGTCTCGCCAGGAATTTTATCAAAAAGCACCCCACTCTCCGACCGGGCGAGGTCAACTCCTTCACCGTCCCCACTGCCTGGTCCGGTCGCCTATGGGGCCGAACTCTCTGCTCACACGGCTCCGCCGGAAAGTTCTCCTGTCTCACCGGCGATTGCGGCTCCTCCACCGTAGAATGCGCCGGCGCTGAAGCCGCCCCGCCGGCCACGATCGCGGAGTTCATCCTGAGCAGCACCGCCGACGGGTTCGATTTCTTCGATGTGAGCGTTGTCCAGGGTTATAATCTGCCAACGATGGTGGAGCCTCAGGGCGGAACCGGAACCGGAGCCGGGAACTGCACGGCGACAGGTTGAACAGTTAACTTGAACATATCAGTGAGTATGTGTATATAGGTACTTCACTTGACATTCTTTGTCCCTTCCTCTTTATCATCACTGACATTTCTAATCCATGTCCTTCTGTTTCGACCACGACCACGACCACAGCACTCACATTTTCCACTCCCCACTAAACCCGCGTATGATTGTATTTTCACCTATTTAGACATAGTTGCTTTTGCTGACATCTCTCTAGATTCGGGGGTCTCAAAGATCTGGCCTTTTCGGTTTGTTCCACTGTTTGAGCCTCTTAGCTTATGATGGGGCTATTTCTGAGATCTGGGATTTGAGGGTTGTCACTGTATGTGTATATAGGTAAGAGTAAGACTATGAATGGTTTATAGCTTGTTTGTGTATTTTGTTTTCATTGACTTAATTTTTATCTCATGTTTGTGTTTCCTCGTTCCTTGTCCTTCCAATCTGTTTAATACACAAGTGTTTGATGAATATGTATAGTTGTATCATTTAATTGCTTATCTTTTGTTTTGTATTACATATTGTAGGTAGGTATCAAGGCTTTCTAAGAAATGGGTTCTAATCTGAATGCTGAATTATCAAAGAAAATTCCAATTTTTGGTCTTAAGGTTTGGGAAGTAATTGGAATTGCAGTTGGATTGTCTATTACAGTCATCCTCTCTGCGCTCTCACGCTGCATTCAAGTCTATTGTGCAACCTGTCACCGTGTAGTTCTCGGCTCCACCATCATTGGCAGGTTATAACCCTGTATGACGCTCACATCGAAGAAATCGAATCCGTCGGCGTTGCTGCTCAGGATGAACTCCGCGATCGTGGCCTACGGGGGCGGCTTCAGCGCCGGCGCATTCTACGGTGGAGGAGCCGCAATCGTCGGTGAGACAGGAGAACTTTCCAGCGGAGTCGTGTGAGCAGAGAGTCCTGCCCCATAGGCGACCGGACCAGGCAGTGGGGACGGTGAAGGAGTTGACCTCGCCCGGTCGAAGGGTGAAGCCGGTGGTGGAGAGTGGGGTGCTTTTTGATTAAAATGCCTGGCCAGACTGTGGTTGTGCACTCATTGATTATTGTGATCGTCGCTGAAGATGAACATGTTAAATCTCAAACCCATTAAAGGATCTGGGTTTTGATTTTTCAACTTCTTATTTTAGTGTAGCATTGCTTGCCAAGAAAACTGTAAGCAAAGCCAGGTGGGCTAAGAAAATTGATACCTTTAAGAGGTGGGGGTGGTCCCAAGCAGAAATTCTTGAAGCATTTAAGAAGCAGCCTTACTGTATGTTGTCATCCAATGATAAAATTAATGTTGTGCTGAGTTTTTGGGTCAATCAGTTAGGTTGAATTCTTTGGACCTTGTCAAAGCTCCAAATATTTTTCAACTGAGTCTCCGGAAAAGGATTATTCCAAGGGGTTCAGTTGTGAAGTTCCTTATCTCAAAAGGCATGCAAAAAAAGGGTGCAAGCATGAATACGCCGTTTGTTCTGACTGAGAAATTGTTCCTGGAAAAGTATGTGATATGTTTTAAGGACTCTCCTTATGTATTAAAGCTGTATCAAGAAAAAATGAATCTTGCTAATAACAGGGAGAGCACTTGCATGTAGCCTTCACCCAGTGTGTAACTTCTTAATCAAATTTGGGTAACTTAACTACCTTATCTTGTTCTGTTATTCCATTGAAATACTTGTCCTGCCATGTTTACCGAAAGTCTGATATATAATCATGCTAGCTTGTTTTCAACATTTGTTATTTTTTGGGAGTTTTCCCTGCAGAATTTTTTTATATATTTCAGGAATAATATCTTTGAAGCGGTGATAATGTTACTTGTTTCCAACTGGAAGGTCACGGTTTCGAGTTTAAGAAATAGTTTTTTACAAAAATTGAAAAGGTAAGGTTGCGTATAATCAACCATCATTCTTATCCTCGCAAAGTCACCGAGCCTTGTGCTCCAGAGTATGCTCTTTCAAAAATAATATCCTTCAGCTGCCGAAGATATACGAAGGAAAAATGAATCTTTTGATGAACTAGAGAGTTAATCATGCATATAACTAATGAATCTAAATTTTATGTTGTCTACCTTTTTTTTAAAATGATCCAATCGTGGTTCTTGTCCAATTCGAACACAAGGTTGCAAACTTGCAACTAATTTAAATTCCTTGTTTGATTTGCTATTCTGAATGGTATCTTGGTTGTTGTTGTCATCAATTATGGTCTTTCATATCAAATAACATGCAATACTATCTGCTGCTTTAGAAATTAGAAATAATTAAATGACATCATCAAATGTGATTTGGTTATATTATTTGCTTTTCTGAATGCTGCTATATTCTGGTACATTTTTGGAACTGCTTCTGTATGTCAAATTCTGATAACGGTAATGCTGTTTGTATTTGGTAATAAAGTCTTTGGAGCTGCCATGATGTTGATGTGCATAACCCATGCTCATTCGTCAGATCTCTGGATACTATAGTAATGTTTGAAGGAGATTGGCATACATTACTGTTTTTTTAGATGATTTTCCTCAAATTGCCAATTCAGCTCAATTGGAAGTTACATATTACCATGTCGGGAGAGGTATGGAATTGTTTGGGTTGTCTGTTGAAGTTTTGTATCAAACTTTTGAGATGAACAATACAGCTTCATAAAACAAGTTATTTCATGTGATTTTTTTAGGTGAAACAAATACAGCATTTTAAACCAGGTAAATAAGGTTTATCTGGTGACCTCAATCGCTTTCTGATATTTATTCCTGTATGCCGATTGTTATTCTTGGCGAAGTTCTATCTGCTTTTAGGGGAGAATGCTATTCTTCTCGCCTGCCAAAAGTTGATTCATGTGAATTATTTAATTAAAAGATTACTGCTTATTTCATAATCTCATATTCATCCTTTCTGGGAAGAGTTTTAAGTATATAGTTGTTCCAGGTTTTGGCATGACTTGGTTCATTGTTTGATTAGAGTGAATGAGCTGATACTTGAAAGAAGCATCTTTGTGTGCTCTGCTGACTGCTGAGATAACACGCCTCTTCGTAAAACAGATATGAAGTTTTTCCGGCTAGCTACGGATAAGGATTGTCCTCGCCCGACCTTTGCATAATATTCTTGCATTATTATTGTGTTTCTATGTTATTGTGTTTATTCAAGATGAAGGGGTTCTTCAAGTTTATGCGCTAAATTTTATCTTGGAAGCCCATTTTGGAATCAAAATTTGAATGAGGTATATCAAGCACCTAATGAAGAAAGTTAGGAAATGGAATTCACTCTTTATGGAGTTTTATGCCTAAGGAAGTGGATGCTCATGTCAATATCAGAGTTCAAAGAAGTAGATGCTCATGAATGAGGAAAGGGAAAATGATGAAGCTCCATTCGAAGGTTAAGATATTGATTAAGGAAAAAGGTAAACTACAATGTCCATCTCAAAGACCTGTGATGGAATTGGGCAATGTTCGTCTTCTGCGTCATTGACTTGTTTGTAAATATTATTCACATTTTGAAATATTGTCCATGTTGATATCTGCATTGGTGTTACTAGGCAAAAGACATTGATCTAATACTCCTCGCCAAGTGAAGTACTGAACTACTTAAAAAGGGAGTGTTTGGTAGCTGGTATTTTTCAAGATTTTTGGCAAACTGAATTTTTCTAGATTTTTAATTTTTAAATATTATCGTAAACTGAATGTTTTCATCATATTTTTGAAAATCGAGATTTCTGGATAAAAAAAAAAATTCTCCTCTATCAAAGTGGTTTCATCATTCAGTTTGCGATGTTTTCTTTTCGATTTTTGATACTCTACAGGGGAAACACGTTCATCATTACTCACTACGCGAGTTTACAAAAGTTACATTACGGCAATATATTCATTCATTAATAAGATAAAATGACCGCATTCAATTTGTGGGAGGCATTGATCCTAAGTTTTAAACACATTAGGATGTTGATTCAAATGTTATACTGAAATACAGCGAATGAAAATTCGAGAGGAGCATATTTGGTTTCGCAATTCTATACTCATTGAAGGGGCAAGCATTTGACTAAGAAAATAGGGCAAGGAATGTAAAAGGAGTACGAACCATGTTAAAGAATTTCATCAGATCATTCCCCTATTTTACTAGTAAATAATTTATTTCACACTTTTTTTTAGCGGAGTAATTGATCTTTGTAAAAGAAAATAATTGTTACCAGAATAACTGGGTTGGGAAGACCATATACTACTAGTAGTAGATTATTTACATATATATATATATAAATGATTTATTTATTTTTGAAAAAATAAAACTAAATTAATGGTTAAAGAAAGGTAAAGGCCGTGACATGTTATTGTAGTGTGTTAGAGGCGTTTTATCGGAGGCGTTATTTCAATTGAATAGAAAGAATAAAAATAAATAACGGTACTGTTATTTTAAAGTTTCGCGGTTATGCCCCCCGAATTCATTTTGTTTTTGTATTGTTTACGCCAACAACAACAACAAACAACAACAACAACAACTCGTGCTAGTTGAGTTGTGTTAGTGTGTTGTTCATTATCATCATCATCTTCATCTTCTTCTCTTGTCATTTACCTCCAGATCTCTCGGTCAAATCAATGACATAGCTTCAATTCACAATCCAGATTCTCTTTGATCGGTACTCTCTCTCAATTCTCTTCACTGATTTCCTCTTCACCAATGCCGAGGGCTTTTCTTCTTTTTAGATTCCCAATTTCAATTTTGCTTTGTTACTTTCTATTCTTATGTTTCATCTGATCAAACCGCTTTTTTCGCAAAATATTCCAATTCCCTGTTTGGTTTGAACTGGGCGTGGTTGGGTTGGGTTGTGTCGTAGGGATAAATTAACTGGATCGCCTCATCTCAACTTGTGGAGAATTTTTGGGTACCGCTTCTTGATTTCTCTCTCCAACATGCACTTGTTTTTCTTTTTCTAATTGTTTGTTTCTCAGCTGCCAAACTGCAACGCAGCTACAATTTTATTTTTTTAGTGGGATTTCTCATTTTCGTTCATCTTCGTGCTGAATTGAAATTCAAGCTTCGATTGGATTTTCTATTAGTTGGCGGGAAAATCGAGGGATGAGTAAAGATACTTCAAGTCGTTGAGTTCTCATGCTTGACGAAAGGAAAACGGGTTTGGGTCTGTTAGATTACAGACTGTAAAATTTTCGAAATTGCTGTTAAATGTCAATGCTTTACTTTGCTGGAACTTTTCTCTTCAGCCCGTGTTTGCAGTAGATTTGACTTGCTTAGGGGGCACATTTTGATTTTGTTGTTATGTCTGCATGTTTGTGTGTTTCTGTATTATCATTGGCCGAAGATAGTGAAACAAGTTCATGCAAGTGATTTTAAAACGAGGAATGATTGAGATTAGAGAGCTCGGGGCTGCAAACACTTCTAGATGTTTAAGCAGGCTATCAACTGTTCTGGTTAAGGTTGCACACTGATGCTGTTATAGACTTAAGTTGTGCATCTTCTCTTCTTCTGGAGGAGGCGGGGATTTGGACTTTTGAAAATCTCTGAATAAAACAAGTTTGATTCAATCTGTGATAAGGTCTGTTGTCCATTGTTGATCATCATGGGTGCATGCACTTCCCACAAAGGGCAAGAGCAGTTGGACTTGGACCTCCTTATACTTCTTAATTAGCCTGTCTGGTTTCTGGAATATTCTGATAAAAGGATGACAATATCTTGTTATTTTATCTTGTATACTCTTTCAAATATTATATTTATTCGATCTTTATATTCTTTCCAGTTTTAGAGTATTTCCCTTTTTATTTTTCTCTCAATGTACCGACCTAAGTAAATGCTATTGTGAACGACATATCATTGCTTTATTTAGTGTTAAGTGTTTATTGTCTAATTGAGTATTAAGACTCTAATTTCTGTTCATTTTGTTCAACTTGTAGTTTGTCTTAGTATATTCTGCTACCATCTGACCTAGAATATACAGACAAATGTTTTTTACTTAAACTTAAGTTGGCATCAATAGCTAGAACAGTGGTGTTTTAACGTGGTATCTAAATTATTATCATACTTTATAGTTGTAGCTATAGAACCTGCATTATATATGCAATCAAAACAGACATATTTTATGCGAATACCCACTATGCTATACCATTAGCAGACTTCAGGCCATTACTTTTGATTTGCATGATGCATCTTCTGGCTTTTGAACCTGAGATTCCTCATCCACATAGTTTTTAGAGGGAAAGAAGGTGCCATTTCAGTTATTGGTCATCTTTAACATGCTTTAGATTCTCAAGTATGGAACCTCCTTTTCTATGATTTCTGTCTGTCTGTCTCTCTCTCTCTCTCTTTTGTGTGGTAGTAGGATGCAACCGAAGTATTTTTTGACTGAATTGTTCAAGTGTATTTACTTAATTATATCTTTTGTTTTGAAAATTTTGTTTATCTAACTCCTCTGCCTTTCTGGTAATTTTTCAGACTACCTAGGAAATCAATCATGGCCCCTTCTAGAAAATCTAAAAGTGTTAATAAGAAGTTTTCTAATATTCGTGAGGCTGCATCTAGTAAAGATAAAAATTCAGAGAATGCTAGCAAGAATAGGCAGAAGGCAAGTCCTGGTATTCAGAAGGTGAATTCGTTTCTTAACTCTTCCAGAAAGAAATGATTTTCCTATACAGACACATTGTTAAAATAAGGGGGGAAAATCTCCCTTTGCTCTTTATTCTCTTTGCCTCTTTGAGCATTCTCCTGTCAATCAAGCTGAAAAGAAGTCATCAGAATACCTTTTTAACTTTTTCTATATCAAATTAGGTGTTGAATTTTTTTTTTTAAGTAGTTTGATAAAATTGGTCAGGCATTACTAATTTTATTTCTTAGTTTATAATTGTTTTTCAAATTTTAATGATATGCAGAAGAGAAAATTGGCTGATATGTTAGGGCCACAATGGAGTAAGGAGGAGCTTCAGCATTTCTATGAAGCTTATCGTAAATATGGGAAAGATTGGAAGAAGGTTAGTTATAGTTTCCAGACACAAGGTGCATTTTATTGAATAAAAGTTAATAATCAAGTCTCACCATCAGGTTTTTGTCTAATAAATGAGCTATTATATATCTGGTAAATACTGCTTAAAATTCCACAGAAAGTTGCAGGATCAAGGTCATGTCTTGTTTATTGAATCTACCTTCTTTGATGCACTTCAATTTCCCAGTGCAATGTTATTCCTGAATATGTTGTCCTTCAGTGACAATTTTACCTATGTTTACAGGTTGCTCTTGCAGTACGTAATAGATCTGTGGAAATGGTAGAAGCCCTGTACACTATGAACAGGGTAAGTGCATCACAAGCTTCAACATTCTAATTATTTTACTGATATTTCTGAAATGCATACACCATGTATTCACTATTCACTTTAGAAAAATATTGTAAAACTCATGTACTAAGAATTTACATATAGAGATATACTTAGGCGTGATTTATAAATTTTAATATTTCTTGTATTTTTCAATACCCTTTATGGAGTTATTTTGTATCTTTCCCTATACAACTGGAAAACAAGGTTTTCCACCCTTCATAATTTCTGTTTTCAAGAAGGGAATGATTTATTTTATTTTCTCTCTAACTATCTATATGAAGAACAGAAAAGGAGATAGAAAAGAGAGAAGGGGAAATGTCCTCCTAAAAAAATTGCTCAATCCTTTAGTCAATGTCTGTTTTAAATATTTGAGCTGTTTGTACAAGATTCAATTCTTGTTGATCTTTTCTCCTAGCTTGTGGACCAGGATGAATCAATGTTGTGATTAATCATTGCTATTGGATATGTATATTCCCTAGCAATATTGAAGTTTATGTCCCCCTCCCCAAAAAAAATTGCATTTGTTACAATTTTGATTAAGTTTCAACAGTTTGTCATTTGGTTAAGGGATACATCTTAATAGTGTGTAGTGTGGATTTTAGTTAGTGTGGTATATTGTTTGTAAAACATGCTATTCTTTGGGTTTATTTTTAGGCATACCTATCTCTTCCAGAGGGCACTGCTTCTGTTATTGGACTGATAGCAATGATGACAGATCATTATAGTGTACTGGTAAGAATGAATTAAAACTTTTGGCAAGTTACGTTTACATTGGTGTTCCTGTTTTTGTAACATTCATGTAGCTGCTTTCCAGCTGTGATATTAACGATTCCCTGTCCTAATTTCAAATCTTTTTTGTAAGTTGTGTGACGAGAAAAAACTGTATTATTTCAAAAGTGGTTTTTCTCAAGATTGTTGATTTAAATGATTTGTTACTTTTCCAATGAGAATCCAAAAGTTTTTCCATTCAGTTTAACTGGCACTCTCAGTTGTCTTAGGTACATTAAGATTGAAATTTTAGTACTCTGCAGTTTCATTTGACTCAGTTATACTGGAAACCTAACGAGTCTCTTTTCTATCAATACAAATACATCCACCTATATGTAAATGGGTAGGACGAAAGCTGTGGCTTCTTTAGTTTATTTGAAATGACAAGGATAATAAAGGTTGCCCCACTATGAAGGACAGTGAATAGTAGAATTTTCTGACCAATAGACTAAGGATTTTTTTTAATACTTCTGATTTTAAAAAGATTTTATTTTACTAAAAGAGATGTAAACTGTAATTTGTTCTTTTGTGACTGAAGGTCACGGGTTCGAATCCGGGAAACAGCTTCTTTGTAATTATGCAAGGATAAGGCTACATACAAGGATTGCCCTCACTCCACCTTCGTTAGTTGGGGTTTAATGAGGAGTGGTTTTAGATGTAAACTGCAATTTGTTATTTTTTATTGTCAATTATGACAGGTAATCATTGGCAGTAATTATCTTTTGTCTATTTAAGGCTGTGTTTGGGAGGTAATAGTTAGCTTATTAATCTGGAACCTCTGCCCTCCTACGCTACCCCGCAAAAAATAAATTAATGAAAGAAATGGCTCAATAAAATTCTCTATCTGTTAAACCCCGACTAGTGAGGGTAGGGATGAGGGCAATTCTTGTACTCATTCATACCTTTGCATATTTGCAAAGAGACTGTTCCTCGAATTTGAACCCGTGACCTTTTCTACTCACGAAGAGCACTTTTACCACTCCTCTAGGTTTGCCCGAAAGAAAAGGCTCAATGGTGAGATAAATTTCCTTCCAGCATTAAGGGTGTTAAACTGTATTTGTTTTAAGTTAGCATTGATTATGTTAAAAAATTTGTATAAATTGCAATAGGTAACACAACCAGTTTCTGACAAATGTTCATAAGCAATTAAGATATGAGTATTTTTTATTGGCAGGGAGGAAGTGACAGTGGAAAAGAAAGCAGTGAAGATGCAGAATTATCTAAAAAGTCTAAAAAACGTTTGCGGGGAAAGCATTTAAATGACAATAAAGCATTAGATGGACACTTTTCAGATCATTCTCAGTCACATTCTGTTGCATCAGGTGATGGTTGCCTGTCATTGTTGAAGAATAGGCATTCTGGTGGGTTAATATGTCAAACACATGTGAACATTACTTTGCCTCAATTCTCTCTTTTCCTCTGTATTTGTTTTTGGTTTTTCAACCAGTAATTGTTGCAATAAGATTGAGGAAGTTTGGATAATATTTCTTCTTGCTGGAAACATGTCAGGATGCTTATCTTTGAAGATGTTCTAATTTTTTTATACTTATAGATTTTAGAAGGTGTTTTCTCTTGCTTAAGTAGGTTCCATTAACAATCTTCTCTTTTGTTGTTTGTGATATTGCTTCAGGAATTAGGCCTCATGCTGTTCGAAAAAGGACCCCCCGTGTCCCTGTTTCATATTCTATTGGTAAAGATAATGCGGAGAAGATTTTTTCATCTGCTAGGCGGAGCTCCAAACAAATAGTTGATACTAATGATGTTGCTCATAAGATTGCATTAGCATTGACAGAGGCTTCACAAAGAGGTGGCTCTTCAAAAATTTCTGGATCACCAAACAAGAAAAATATGCCATCGCCTGGTCAGAAAAGTGGGAAGAAGGTTATAAGTTACTTCTATAACAACTTCAGTTGTCTTTTTCTGTTATTTATTTAAAATGAAAACTTATTTTAGGTAGTTACGATTTTCAGCATGCTATATCAGAAATATCTGGAGCCAAGTTTTGCAATTCTGACTTGGATGAGGGTAGTTCTGAGTTGAGTTTAGGAAGGACAGAAGGCGGCAATGTCAATTGTTCTGGAAAAACAAATCATTGGAGCAGTAGAAAAAGTACTGGAAAAGTAAGGAATCAGGAAAAGAGAATAAAACACTACAGGAAGAATTTAGAACCTGAGGAAAATTTAAACCAGCATTTGAATGACAAAAAGGAAGCCTCCAGTGGGACAGATGATGGTAAAAGTCTGAGTTTTATCAAATCCAACTTTGACACAGATTTTGCATACGCAAAAAATTTGAAGTCCTTTTACAAAGGTTCCAGAAAGAAAAGTAAAAAGCTATTGTTTGAGAAAGGTATTTAGCAATTTCTAAAATTTGTGTTCAGCTTAATTTTCCTATTAAACAAGGATATTTCTGCCATAAAATGAATGAAAATGAGGAAACTTGGTTGGTATCAGTTGTTTTTCTCATTAAGCAGAGCATACTGTATTTCTTACTACAGTTACACTCCAGAATATATTACCTTTCTTCCTTAATAAGTAGAAGGATATATGTTCCATTTATGCATGATGTTCTAATTATTATATGCCTCTTGGGTTATAGTTATAACTTTTTTCTTTTAATTTTCTGTTATATGTTCTCATCTTTCAACTTGTTTTATATTTTTTTTTAGGAATGGAAACTAAATTTTGTTTTGTCCCTGAAATATTACAAGCATAAGCATGAAATGAATTTGAGTCTTTTATGCCTTTTGGTTGTTAGCTAAGAGTTTAATGATTTTGGTGCGTCACAGTTGTTGTACTTGGTGATGCTCGAGCAGGAAAGGAAAATCAATTGGAGAAGAAACCTCTCCATCTATTTCCTTTTGCTTTTCATTATTGAATAAGGTGCAAGCTATGCTAATTGATTTAGATGTTTACTTTATGAAATCTCTAGCATATTACTCTATTTTAAACTTCAAACCGTTATATTTAATAGTTAGACCTAAAATTTATTTGGATGTGAGTAGTTATAAATTTTGTTTGGATTTCGCATTAGTAGGTTGTTGTGTGTCTTTTACTCTTTTCCCTTCACCATTTTCCTATAGGCTTCAAGTTTGTTCAGTTATTCCAATTGGAAGTACAATTTTTATTGATGCAGTCATTCCCCCACCCCTTCCCCCTACTTCTCTCTTTGTAGATGAAGGTTCTGCTTTTGATGCTCTGAAAACTTTAGCTGATCTGTCTTTGATGATGCCTGTAACAAACCCTGACACTGGTAAGATATCTAAGTATTTTGACGTATTAATCTTAGAATAATGTTATTTAAACTATTCATTCTCCCTTCTCCCATGGTCAATCTGAATTAATAATTAACTTGCAAGTACTACCATCTAACATGATTGGTTATGTGGTTATATGCGCCAATCACCTTCCTTTTTTCCCCTCTTTAATTAACATTAGCACTGACATTTCTGACCATTCATTAACGCAATAATATCACGGTGGGAATATAATCCCTCATGTAATTTTCTGTTTGCGGGGCAGAAGGATTTTGTGCATGTTAAGCCTAAAAGCAAACTTTATTTAAGAGATACATTAGCTGTAACTTCTGAAATTATTCTGGAAGTGCATAGTGATATGAATGCTTAGGGAGGAATGCTTGTACTTTTAAGGATGTCTTTTTCCAGTACATTCATTATGTGATCGGACTCCTTTTATGCCCTCTCCTTGGTGCTCTGATCATGGTTGCTTCCTCTGCTGGGATGCACTATTTTATGCATCAGCATGAACTATTTTTTTTAAGGCTTAAGCAGGTTTTGTACCAACTAACATCTTCTCTATCTCATAATTCATTGATAGTCGTCATTATCTCTTTTCCTTTCCCTTGTTTAAACCCTAAAGTTCAAACAAGTTTTTTACATGCTTCACCCAGTTGATTATTTTGTTTAGTTGTGCACTGTTTTACCATACCATTTTCTTCCCTCTAATTTGTTTATTCCTGCAGTATACTTTTAGATATTAATAAAAAGACTTAATATATGTTACAACTTGGCTTCCACACACCCCCCCCCCCCCCCCCCCCCCCCAAAACACACACACACACAACAAAAAAGAAAGAAAGAAAGAAAATATCTATTTATTCTATGAAAATCCTTTTTCATCATACTTTATGATTGTCTAAATCTTTTCATATACAACTCTATATCTCAGAGTCATCTGCTCAGTTCAAGGAAGGAAACCATGAAGTTGTTAATGAGTCTAAAATGGAAACGCATAATGTATCTCCCAGGATTGAAAGCACCACTTCAAGTAAATTAGCCAAGGTTTTTTCTGATAATGGAGTTGCTGTTCCTGAAGCAGAAGGAGCGGACCTGCTTAATGCAGGAATCGGGAAAAGGAAACAGAAATCTTCTACCTTAAAAGTAAGAACTGGTTATTTTCCAGAATTCAGTAGCAAAATTTATGTTTCCTGTTTGATATTTGATATGTACTATGCAAGTAAAAAGTATCTTGTTTGTCCCAGAATGATGAAACACATACTGTTCATTTAAGTGGTTTCCAGAAAACCAAGGTGTGTATTTATTAGTTATTAGCACCAGAATGATAACAAATTGTGTTTGTGGTACAACATATTAGCCAGTTGATGACAAATTGTTTCCTCACTTTATCTGTAAGATTTTGTGCAAGAATGATAATGTTCGCGACTAATGCATAAATAATTTTCATTTTTTTTCATTTAAGAGCGGTAGGCATAAAAAAAGACTCATTTCAGATGTGTGATTTCATTATGGCTTTTATGATCTTTGCCTCTTCCTTTACTATTTCAAAGACATTTAAGACACAATGTTGTGATGGGCCTTTGTGTCTTGTTATCAACGCTACATTGGGGGTCAAAGAAGAGAGCCCGAGAGGAAGTTGAGAATAATAAGCTGATTGTGAAGGAGGATGAAGGAGGAAAATTAATTATTGGGGAAGCCACATGGCAAGCTATGAATGGTGAGGGAATAATGGGGGAAACATGGAAAGAAGATTCAGGAAGGTTGTGATGATAGAAGGTGGTTATATAGCAAGAAAGGGAAAGGGGGAAGGCAAGCATGTATTGAGCATTTGGTGAGTGGAGAATTTGGGGATCTCTTGGAGCTAAGGGTAGTTGGTTCTAAGGGTGAGTTGAGGTCTTTTGGTGTATTTTTCTGCATTTAATCTTTGTAAGGAGCTTGTCTCCATTTTTGTTTTAATCAATTTCGGTGTTATTTTTCTGGTTCCATCATGTTGCAACTTGGATTTCAACATAAACATCAACATCAACTTTAATTCAAACAAGTTTGGGTCAACGATCGATGAACCCAAAAAAAAGCAAGAAAAGATTGAGAGAAAATAAATAAATATGGAAAAAAAGGTCATCTAGAACATAGGAAATAACAGGTCTATCCACTCTACAATGATAGTAGCTTTTCTCCACTTATGTCCTAAGACAAATCATACGACAATCTATTTCTCATTCCATTAAGTCTTGTTTTACTACTTTTCCCTAAGTAAGTTTCAACCAACCTCTTCCTCCTTTTGGGTCATGCTCTTGGTAATAAACTTTAGTTCGTACAGGAGCATCTAGCTTTCCTCCACACAATCTTGCAACTTGGATTTCATAAAGCTCATTTAAGTATTTACTTTTTTTCCATCGTGGTTTAAGACATGCACAAAATTTCTTTTCCCACCTTATATTTGCTCCATGCAGTAAAACTTCTATACTTATCTATTGTTAGAGATGTAATGAAATTGTTAGTGAGCCTTTACCTAATGTAAAGTGGATAGAATTTCGTAAGGTTGTACCCAATGTGGATGCAGGTTCTATATTTATACTTAAAGAATTAAGCTAGTAGTACAAAGCAGTACGATATAATACAGAGGACTTAAATACCCTCTGCACATTATACATTGAACATAGACATTATATTTAATTCTCATCACTTCCCCTCAAGTTGGAGTATAGATGTTAAATCACACCTAACTTGTTACGAAGGTACTCCATCCTAATCCCATTAAGTGCCTTTGTGAAAATGTCAGCTATTTGTTCTATTCTTCTAACACGTCCAGTTGATACAAATCCTTGCTGAATCTTTTCCTAAATAAAGTGGCAATCCACTTCAATGTGTTTTTTCCTTTCACTAAAACACTGGATTTGAGGCAATGTGGATCTTAGCTTGATTATCACACCAAAGTTTCTGTAGAATATGTAGAATATTCTAGATAGTATTTATTGATGTAGTTGGTAGTTGTATATTTATTGATGTAGTTGGTGGTTGTATATTTATTAAAGTAGTTGAGGTAGTTGGATGTACTCAATATAAAAAGGACCCATTGGGTCTTTCAATGAATCAAGAAAGTATTATTCAAACAAAACACTTCTTCCACTTCTTCTTTTTCATGGTATCAAGAGCTGGTTATATTCCAGTCTCTTCCCCGTTCTGATTTATTTTTAAGTCATTTTCCTATTCCTTTTTTTCGTTTTAGCCACTGCCCAAGCCAGAATCCTTACCTAGACACCTCCACGAAACCAAGGTCACCATTAGGTTCAGAACAAAATTCCGAGCCAGCCCATAGAAGACCCGTAGCAGTACTGTTCATTACTGTAGCAATTACTGTTTCACTGTGGCCAAGATTGCTCTCATTCATTGACTTTGGCGAGCAACCCTCTTTCTGTTTTGAGGGTCAAAATCTTATTTGGAGGAACTTTTTTTCTGGGTACCTGTTAGAAAGCCATGGATGCTGAAAATTCTGAAATTTCGTCTGGAACCTCACCCCTTCCCAACTCTTCGTCTTCTGGAGACAACCCAGCAATACAGATCACCAATCACCGTTTAAACGGTAGGAACTATGTGCAATGGTGTCAATCTGTTAAGTTGTTTATCCAGGCTAAAGGGAAGATGAGGTATCTTGACGGAAAAAAGGTCAAACTAGCAGAACGTGAACCTGGTTATGATGCTTGGGTGACTGAAAATGCTTTAGTCATGACATGGCTGACTAATTCTATGGAACCAGATATCAGTCAAACTTATTTATTTCTTGATACAACTCAAGAAATTTGGGAAGCTGTTAAAGAATATTACTTTGACCTGGGCAATGCATCTCAGGCTTTTGATCTCAACACCAAAGTGAAAGAATTACGCCAAGGAGGGATGACTGTTTCTGAATACTTCCTTGCTCTAAAAACACTGTGGCAAGAGTTGGATCTTTATGATAAAGCAGACCTTCAAGGTTTAGAAGCTAATGCAAGGTTCAAAAATTATATAGAGAAAATGCGTCTCTATGATTTTCTTGCTGGCCTTAATTCTGATCTGGATGATGTTCGTGGAAGAATTTTGGGGCAAAACCCATTACCTTCCCTTGCTACTGCTTTTTCTGAAGTACGAAGGGAGGAGCTTCGCCGAAAAGTAATGTTGGATGATAAGGACTCTAAGTCCTCTGATGGGTCTGCCCTTATAGCAAAGAATACTGTTCGTCCTTCTGGGGACTCAAAACGATCTGACCGTTGGTGTTCTCATTGCAATAAGGGTGGTCACACCCGTGAAAAATGTTGGAAAATTCATGGAAAACCACCAAACTGGAAATCAAAAGGACAGAACAAGAATCGTGCTAATCAAGTATCTTCCGAAGATAAAGGGGAGGTGTCTCATGTCCCTTCAAACCTTGATGGTGTTTTCCTCTCGAAGGCCCAATATGAGCAATTTCAGAAACTGATATCTCAACCTGCCGAGGCAACTAGTCATGTTGCTCAAAAAGGTATGGCATTCCATGCTGAACGTAGTAATCGTTGGATTCTTGATTCAGGGGCCTCTGATCACATGACAGGTAATGCAACCTTATTTTTCTCCTATACCCTTTACTATCACCCGTCACGAATAAGAACAGCTGATGAGAATTTCTCCACTATTGCAGGGAAGGGATCCATTAAACTTTCTGAGCATATTATTTTGAATTCAGTCCTTCATGTTCCCTCTCTTACCTGTAACCTCATCTCAATTAGCAAACTTACTGCTGAGTTGCATTGTGTTGCTAAGTTCTCTGCAAATGCTTGTACCTTTCAGGAACAGGACTCGGGGACGATGATTGGCAGTGCTAGAGAGGAAGAAGGGCTCTACTATTTTAAAGAGGATCCTTGTGAAAGGAGGATTTTTTCGAACCACTCTCTATGTTTATCAGATGACTGTAATGATGTTTTGTTATGGCATCGTAGGTTAGGACACCCAAATTTTGTCTATCTTCAGAAGTTATTCCCGAACTTGTTCATCAATAAAAAGCCAAGTTCCCTTCTTTGTGATATTTGTCAACTTGCAAAGCATCTCGTGCCACTTATTCTCCTAAAAAATATCATGAATCTTCTCCCTTTACATTGATTCATAGTGATATTTGGGGACCTGCTCGTGAAAAAAATGTCTCGGGTGCTCGTTGGTTTATTACTTTCGTTGGTTTATTACTTTCATTGATGATCATTATAGGGTATGTTGGGTATACCTCTTGAAAGATAAGTCTGATGCTGCATCCACCTTTAAAAACTTTGATGCTATGATTCAAACTCAATTCCAGACCTCTATCAAAATTCTGCGAACAGACAATGGTACTGAATATTTTAATTCTGTTCTTGGAGATTACCTAAACCAGCATGGAATTATTCATCAAAGTTCTTGTCCTAACACCCCTCAACAAAATGGGGTGGCTGAAAGGAAAAATAGACATCTAATTGAAGTTGCTCGAGCTCTCTTATTCAAATGCATGTCCCTAAATATCTGTGGGGGGAAGCCATCTTGACAGCCTCTTATCTTATTGATCGGATGCCTTCTCGGGTACTACATTTTCATTCTCCTTTATCCTGCCTTACTAAATCTTTTCCTTCTATCAATGCTCTTTCTTCTCTTCCTCCCAAAATATTTGGCTGTCTGATTTTTGTGCATATTCCTCCACATCAAAGGTCCAAACTTGACCCTAAATCCATCAGATGTGTCTTCATAGGATATTCCCCTAATCAAAAAGGGTATAAGTGTTACTCACCTTCTCTCCGTAAGGTTTTTGTTTCCATGGATGTTACCTTTTATGAGACACAATCCTTTTTTTCCCCGACTTCTCTTCAGGGGGAGTCTATTGGTCTTGGTATGGATGAAGATAAGCCTGGGAAACCAAATGATGCTGCTGTCTTACCTTGGCCTTTGGAAACAGGGGGAGCAACTATACCTAAATCTAATGATCTTCCTTGTGATCCTCATGGTAAATGGGGAAAATTTTACAGCAGGCGCAAAACACATGAAGATACTCTAAACTGCCAGGATCCTGACTCGAGTCCTTGTTCCAGCAACCCACTTGAATGTACTAGTACAGCCAACATTGATATGCCTATTGCTCTTCGGAAAGGTACTAGATCTTGCACTGCTCATCCTATTTCTCATTATATCTCATATGAAAAGTTGTCTCCAGGTTTTTGTGCTTTCAACACTATATTAGATAGTACTAGGATACCCAAAAATATCCAAGAAGCACTTGATGACCCAAAATGGAGGAATGCAGTATTAGAAGAAATGGATGCACTTACAAAAAATGGAACATGGGAGTTTGTGACATTACCTAAAGGAAAGAAAACTGTTGGTTGCAAGTGGGTGTTCACAATAAAATTCAATGCAGACAATAGCATCAATAGGTATAAGGCCAAATTAGTTGTTAAGGGATTTACTCAGACTCATGGGATAGATTATCAGGAGACATTTGCTCCTGTTGCCAAACTTAACACTATCCGCGTTCTGCTATCTCTTGCCGCCAACCTTGATTGGCCATTGCAACAGTTAGATGTTAAGAATGCCTTCTTGAATGGTGATCTACATGAGGAAGTTTACATGGATCCACCTCATGGTTTTGAAAAAGGGGATGGTTCTGTGTGCAAGTTGCAGAAGTCTCTCTATGGACTTAAACAATCTCTCAGAGAATGGTTTGAGAAATTTACTCAAGCTGTTAAGGGAAGAGGGTTCACCCAAGCTCAGACTGATTACACTTTATTTTTTAAATACTCCGACAAAGGAAGAATTGCTATTCTGATCGTTTATGTTGATGACATAATTGTCACTGGTAATGATAGCGAGGAGATAACCTCTTTAAAAAAATGTTTAGCTGACCAGTTTAAACTAAAAGATCTTGGATCTCTCAAATATTTCCTTGGCATGGAAATTGCTTGGAGTAAGGAAGGAATTTCTTTAACTCAGAAAAAATACATTCTAGACCTGTTGCAAGAAACAGGTATGCTTGGGTGCAAGCCGGCAGAGACTCCAATTGAAGCTAATATCAAGATGGGAGTTGAGGACGAGAAGATGTTGATAGGGAGCAGTACCAGAGACTAGTGGGGAAATTAATCTATTTGTCTCACACTCGTCCTGATATTGCTTTTGCTGTGAGCATGGTTAGCCAATTCATGCATTCTCCTAAGGAAAAACACCTTAGTGCTGTTTATAGAATTCTCAAATACCTCAAAAATACCCCTGGTCGAGGAATTTTCTTTAAAAAAGGGCACAAAAGGATGATTGAAATCTATACAGATGCAGACTGGGCTGGCTCTGCAATGGACCGAAGATCTACTTCAGGATATTGTACTTATGTCTGGGGAAACCTTGTGACCTGGAGAAGTAAGAAACAAACTGTTGTTGCAAGAAGTAGTGCAGAAGCGGAATTTCGGGCTCTAGCCCATGGTATTTGTGAAGGAATTTGGTTACGAAGGCTTCTGGAGGAGTTGAAGATCACTTATTCCCTACCTATCAGATTATATTGTGATAATAAGGCTGCTGTCAGCATTGCTCAAAATCCTGTTCATCATGACAAAACAAAACATGTGGAAGTTGATCGTCACTGTATCAAAGAGAAATTAGAAGATGGTAGTGTATGCTTGACATATATACCTACCAAGGAACAGACGACAGATATCCTCGCCAAAGGATTACTTAAGCCGACCTTTGAGAATTTGATCAGCAAGTTGGGAATGATCAATATATATCTCCCAACTTGAGAGGGAGTGTAGAATATGTAGAATATTCTAGATAGTATTTATTGATGTAGTTGGTAGTTGTATATTTATTGATGTAGTTGGTGATTGTATATTTATTAAAGTAGTTGAGGTAGTTGGATGTACTCAATATAAAAAGGACCCATTGGGTCTCTCAATGAATCAAGAAAGTATTATTCAGACAAAACACTTCTTCCACTTCTTCTTTTTCAGTTTCATAGTTGGGGAATCTTGATCCAATCTCGTCAAGCAAGTGATTCACCTATATTAACTCATAAGAAGTTTGGGCCATAGCTTGATATTGGATCGATAGGGTATCTAGCCCAATGTGCATCAAAATAACCTTCTACTCTGCTATGTCCATTGTCTCTATAAAGAATACCACAACCTGGAGCTCCTTTTAAATTCCGCGAAATGTGTAAAATTGCATCCCAATGAGAACTTCGAGGAGATGGTATGAATTGACCAACAACACTAAATGGGAAAGAAATATCTGGACAACACCTAGGTTTTTTTGGTTGAACGAAGGAGAATAAAATGGAGAAAACTAAGAGGCTTTGATACCATGTAAAGTAGAGAGAATTTTATAAGGCCGTACCCCATGTGGGTGAATGTTTCTGTATTTGTACACGAGAATTATACTAGTAGTACAAAGCAGTGAAGAATATCACACGAGGCAAAAGCGTAAATACCCTTACACATAATACATTGAACCTAGAGACAATATACTTAATTCTAACACCTAACAGTTTCAGCTTTTTGGAGAGTTGCATAAGGGAGCATGTTAGATATAAAACCCTTCATAAGCCTTCACCTAAAAGTTTAAGCTATTAGATGAAAACTCATTAATGGTTTTATTACGTTTCTAAAATCTGTCATATTTTACATTCTGTATTCTACATAAATGTTTCGTAGTTGCTTACTTTTCTATTTTGGCTTTTAGAATTTTTCATTTCCGTCTTTCACTTCGTATAAATCTATGAAGCTGCCTTGCTTTGCCAAAAAGCATCTCTTGTTCTAATTGCACTTGACATTGTCTTTTATATGTTCATGTGCCTACTTACAGTATCCATCCAAATATTATCTTCTTCATTATAGGCTACTGATGAGGTGAAGAAGTCCATGGTTAAAGGTAAGCGGTCATCTGTTTGTACAGCACGTTCAAGACAACTAAAAGTGGTTAGGTCTCCAGGAAAGATGTCTTCAAGTACTTATGACAAAACGGAAAGGGATGATTCATCTTTTTCCCCCATGAAGGTTTTGTCTACTAACCAAGTCAGTCTAGTAAACAGAGGAAGGCCCAAAAGAAAGATGGAAAAACCAAAACCAATGGTACAACGAGATCCGACGGTGTCTGGAAATATTTTTAGTGGTCAACGTAATAAATCCATTGCTTCACTCCCGAATAGTTCTGTTAGTCACAAGGTTAAGTATCTGTAATTTGTGCTCAGTGGCATTAATTGATTTTTTAATCATATATTAAGAAAGATGTTTTTTTTTTTGTTATTACAGGGAAAACTTATTAATTGCTTGTCTTCATGTCAAACACGGCGGTGGTGCACTTTTGAGTGGTTTTATAGTGCTATTGATTACCCATGGTTTTTAAAGAGAGAGTTTGCAGAGTACTTGGACCATGTCGGATTGGGTCATGCTCCCAGGTTGACTCAGATTGAGTGGGGAGTCATTAGAAGGTATTTGATTTGAAATGCGTATGTGTTTACTTCATCCTATACTATTAACACATTCTTGATTAAGTCTATTCGATATATCAAAGCATTCATATGCCTTGACTTGGTGGTTTGAACTTTTGGGTTGAGTTGATTCTTGATAAAGTAGTTCATCTATATACTACTCTTATGCAGTTCTCTTGGTAGACCACGAAGATTTTCAGAGAAATTTTTGATAGAAGAAAAACATAAACTTAATCAATACCGGGAATCTGTTAGGTCATATTACGCTGAGTTTCTTGCTGGTCGCAAGGAAGGCCTTCCTACTGATTTGGCACAACCTTTAATTGTTGGGCAGCGTGTTATTGCTATTCATCCGAAGACAAGAGAGATTCATGATGGAAGTATACTAACTGTTGACCATTGTAGGTGTCGGGTTCAGTTTGACCAGCCTGAACTTGGGGTTGAATTTGTCATGGTATGCTTTCTTCTCTTTCAACAATGGCAGAAGTCTTGTGTGTCAGGCTGTCTTTATTATGATTAATTATTATTATTAAAATCCCAATTATATACCATGTATAGGTATTTTATTACATCAAATGAAGTGTTTACAACATATATTTTGTAATTTGCCAAGATGTGAAATTGATTGCACAGAGTGAAGCAAATTATGTTACAAGTATGAAGAATATGACCGTAGAGCTCAAGCTTATTAAATTCATTATTTTGGATCATATGATCTTGTGCTCCCATGGTAGCTAAAAGATCCAATACATATATACTAAGGGTGTGTTCGGATAAACTTTGAAAAAAGTTCTTTTATGATATTATTTTAGAGCTATTTTTTAGAAGCTACTCTTTCTAGCTTCTAAGAAAAGCGCTAAAACTTTCTTTTCTGCTGGATTTTTTTTTTAAGTTATCTAATTATTATAAAATTTCTTAAAACATTTTTTAATTAAAAAAAATACTTTTTTCTTAAAAAAAAAAAAGCACAAACAAACGGATCCTAAATCCTTTTCGCTTAGAATCATTGTAGATTCATTACAAGATCATTAGGCTTGGTAGAATCTATTTCTCTTGTTTGTGTGTGTGTGTGGGATGATGGCGGAGCAAAATAGATGACTTTTTGTTAAGAGTGTTAGTGTTAATAGTGTAGAAGTCCCACATTGAGTGTGTCTCTTTGTATTCTTCAATTGGTTTGCTATATAATAGCACCAATGTTCTGTAGTTTAATATAACAAGGATTACAATGAATACCTCTTGTCTCTTGGTAATTAACATGGTATCTAGAGCCTAACAAGAGGAATCTTAATCCATTTAACTTAGTCCTATTTTCCATAATTTCAATATGGTTATAGAGAGATATCACTCTCCTTGAGGGATTCACGTTGCTATTTCTTTTTCGGGTTTTTCTTAGTATGCTCTGTGACTGCAGCTTAGACTGATCTGTCACATCAGAAAAGAATGATCATTGGGAAGTTGTTGGGTTGACCACCGTTGTCGTTGACCGACCACCGTTGACCGCGTCGTCCACTGTTGACAGCCGTCTCTGGCGACTTTTCCGATGACTTTCCGGAGACTTTTTTGGCGATCCACAACCGTCTCCGACGACTTTTCCGACGACCCACCGCCGTCTCTAGCGACTTTTCCGATTCTGCGAAGCTTTGTTTTTCTTTAATCTTCTTTCTTCCCAAGATGGAGTATTTATACTATTCATCATCCATCTTGAGGGGGAGCACTGTCCAAGTTGCTGATGTTGTCTCCGCTGATGTTAATTCTGACACCGAAGTTCCTCTTGAGGGGGAGCACTGTCCATGTTGCTGATGGTCATTCCAGCACAATTGTCTTTGCCGATGATAATTCCGGCACTGTTTAGAAGTTCCTCTTGAGGGGGAGCACTGTCCATGTTTCTGATGGTCATTCCAGCACAATTGTCTTTGCTGATGATAATTCCGGCACTGTTTAGAAGTTCCTCTTGAGGGGGAGCACCGTCCATGTTGCTGATGGTCATTCCAGCACAATTGTCTTTGTCGATGATCATTCCGGCATCTTCCATGTTGATGTTCATTTCGACGCCATTTTTAGCACATTGTTGATTTTTGGTTTCTCATTTAGGAGATTTATTTTGATGTTATGTTACTTGGTCTTTCTTGTAATAAGCTTGTAGCATAGTCAAGGGTAAACCACGGCTGCTCACCAACTGTTAAATGAAATGTCTGAGAGGGATCTTGATGCTGATGTCCTGGTCAGCTCAGTTGCCTTTGCCGATGATAATTCCGGCACCATCCATGCTCTGATGTCCATTCCAGCACTGTCTCTTTATCAGCTCTTCAGACTGATGGTCATTCCAGTTGATTTGTTGTACTTAGTCATTTCATTTCGTTGATGTAGCATTGTTGTTTTTGGTTCCTAATGGGAGTATTATTTATGTATCAAGCTTGTAGTATATGATCTATATGCTACAGCTTGAGGGGGAGTGTTAAGAGTGTTAGTGTTAATAGTGTAGAAGTCCCACATTGAGTGTGTCTCTTTGTATTCTTCAATTGGTTTGCTATATAATAGCACCAATGTTGTGTAGTTTAATATAACAAGGATTACAATGAATACCTCTTGTCTCTTGGTAATTAACACTTTTCATGCTTTTGCCTTGAAAGGTAAACACTTAAACTTCAACCCAAATAACATACCCAATTGTACATCTTCGTTTTTCCTTGATAGGTTTTTCTCATTTAAATTTAGGTGAGTGAGAGCAGAAACTTAGTGCTTTGTCCAGGGCTTCCTGTGAGTGCATGTACTAAAGTGACTACTGATGCTAAAAAGAAGTTTGCAGCACTTTTGAAGGCACCAAAGAGGAATAAAAGACAAAATAAATTGGAGACTATATCATATTGCTTTTAAGGAAGGGATCTAGTCAATAAATACAAAGGAGACAAAGAATTGGTGCATTATTATGAATTTTTCTCAATGGTTTTACATTTTTGTACCCAAACAAGCAAGGACACTTCAAAGTAGCCATTAGCCGCCATAATGGTATCAGACACATACACATATCCATATAGAATATTACTTGGGCATGGTGGATACTCCTTGCCGCATCCTATAATTATTTTTTTTTACTTCTGGACTTTTTATACCAGTACAAGTGGGATACCACAATAATTAGACAAATGGTGGTATTTTAGTGTGTCTACTATGACTAATGCTAACTTTTGGAACATTGATGTCTTGTTTTAATTTAAGATTTGTGTTTTTATGTTAATCTTATATTAACTTTGTATGCGTTACTTTTATTCTATCTTTGTTGTATCTTTTTTTCCTAAGGATTTTCCGTATCCTTGAGTAATATGACAATCTTTTCCTATGTCATATCTGTCCTTCCTACATCGTACAGTTCTACAAAAAAAAAAAGTATATATTTTGTAATGTCAAATTAAGTTAATTTATCCTTCTCTTATACTTTAAGATTTATTGTTGTTTAGTTTTTTCAATATACATTGAAAGTTAGTAGTATATATCATCTTATTTGTAATAGATCATAGGATCTTACAATCCTTGATGTAACCCTACGATCTGGTCCTGCTATCTCCAAAAAGATTTTAGTAGAATCCTGATTTTAATAACCTTTGTAGACATTGTTAGCCACTATTAGAGATTCTGAATACAGTTTATTTGGTGTTTTGGTTATAAATATCTGTATTGCTTTGCTCCTCTCATCTTACTTTCCATCCTGTTTCCCCATTAATGTCCTCAGAGAATATGATCGATGGGTAGTTTTCTCTAATAATAGCATATTGTGACACAAATATTTTCATATTGCAGGATATTGACTGCATGCCTATGTATCCATCTGAAAATCTGCCTACATCTCTGGTAAGACACAATATCACTCCTGCTAGAATAAGTGAGAATCTCAATGAGCTCAAGCTTAATGGGAAACTGAAACAAAGAAAGGTTGCTGAGCACACAATATTGTCCCTTAGTGAGAACTCAGATACCATTAAAGGTCTTTATATATCCCCCACTACGCATGGAAACAGTACTTTATCAAAACAGGTACAGATTTATTTTGAGATGAAATTTAAATTCTGTTCTATGGTGATGATTTGATTGTTTCGAATCCTTCAAGTTGTAAAACGCGCATTAGTTCAGTTATCAGTATTTTCTAACTTGAAGAAAGGTTTGCTTAATCAGTAGTAGGGCTAGACCGTTAGAAACCCCAATATATGAAGGAGGCCAAATTCGGAAAAATTACTAAAAAAAATTCATATAAAATACAAGATTTAAAAAAAATAAAAAATTGAAGGAGGCTGAGGCCTTGCTCTTAATGTACTAGGTATCACCCTTGAGCTTAATAATTATCAATAAACAATTACCAAAAGACTATTTTCTTCTTCTTATTCTCTCTCTCTCTCTCTCTCTCTCTCAATGGTTTTTTAAAATAAAAGATCTTTTGTAACCTTTTTAGGATTAATTTTTTGTGGCTTCTTATATTGTTGCTCATATATACTGATTCCTGCAACTCGAATGGACTTAAAAGGTTTCTTTTAACTTGGTAGTTCATCAATCTGTGAAACCAGAAAACAATAGTAGTAAACACAATAGAATACTGCTTTATCATAATTTGGGTATATAACAAATACCACAGGGCAAGCATACAGAAATTAAATTTTTGTGTATCTTAGCTGAAGGAAGGGTTGGTATATCTGAAGTCTTTGAATGGATTCTACAGCTAAGAAACATGTTTGAGCGCAAAACTGATTCTGAAGAGAAGGGTCCTGTATCAGTCCTGTAAATGGCAATATATGGTTGTATTTTATCTATGTTGGATTGCTCACTAGCACAATTAATTCTTTAAATAGCTGGAGGTGATACGACTCAGACACTGTTAGTTATGTTTTTCTTAGTTCTTCTAGGATTACCTAATTAGAGGCAACTTGTACAATGTATTTAGAGAAACTATATGTCTAATCAACCACAAAGTTAGAAACACAATCATCCTCCTGATGGGTCCGTGAGTAGTTTTCTTGTCTTGTTATTTTATTTTATTTTTTGCTTTCTTTCTTAGGGGTTTCCCTCAAGCTGCAAATCACAAGCGAAAGTTGTGTGCAGTGAGATTGGTAATGCCCAACTACCATCAAGTTCTCAACCTCCCCTTCTTGAACATGTCCATTCAAAAGAAGCTGATATATTAGCCATTTCAGAGTTGTCTCGTGCTCTAGACAAGAAGGTACTGCCGAAACCATCTCTCTCTTTTTTCCATTGTTCGTGTTATATTAAAAAGAAAATATCTCCCTTTCAAATATACCTTTTCTAAAGTGAGTTTTGAGCATTTTGAATTTTTAGGAACTTGTGTTGTCTGAACTGAAGCACATGAACGATGGGGTATTGGAAAGCCACAAACATGGAGACAACTCAGTGAAGGACTCAGAACCTTTTGTGAGGAATTATGCTTTAGTACTAAAGCAATTAACTGAAGTCAATGACCAGGTATGAATTTTCATGGACCACTCAGCAGACTTAATCCCATGTTGCCTATCTTTATTCTTTTCACCTTCCTATTCCAATTAATTACAATTGCATGAGTTGATTGCACTTCTGCAGGTTTCTTCTGCCTTGTTTTGCTTGAGACAACGCAACACATATCAAGGAAGCTCCTCAATTTTGTCATTAAAGCCCAAGGATAATTTTGATGATCCTGGTGGTCAGGCTAGCTCTTCCAATTGTTCAGCTTGCCACAATCAAGAATCTATATCTCAAAGTCATATAGCTGAAATTGTCGAAAGTTCTAGAAGAAAAGCCCGAACTATGGTTGTTCAAGCTACGCAGGTATATAAATAAAGCTCTCTATGCGGCTTATTAGTAAATGCAACATGTATGCATTCCAAACTTAAAGAACACACAGACACCTGATAGTTTTCAAACCAAATATTTGAAACTTCATGTTTGATGGGCCTGAAAGTGGTGGGTGGGTTAGTTAGTTTGTTAGGAAAATCTTCTAAAATACTCTTAGGGTGTGTTTGGTACAAGTATTTCAAAAGGATTACTGGTAAACCTTCTTTGGTAAACCCAATTACCATGTTTAGTAGAAGGAACAAAAACCAGTTCCCGGATATCCAAGGATTACCGGTAATTTGATTTATAAAGAAAAATCACTATTCAGATTACCAAAAATAATATATGGTAATTCAGAATACCAAGTAAAGGGAAAGCACAACAATAATTTTTGAGACAAAAATATCCCAACACACATAAAAACCTAGACCCAATCTATCAATTACAAAAGTAAAAATAGTTTGGGGTTATTTTTGTAAAATAACCTCATATTCCAAGTCATATTTCGTTCTAAACCAAACATGGAATCAGTAATTTTTATCCAATATTCCCGGTAATATTTTGGCGAACCAAACACATTTTTCGTAAGATTCCAAGTAAACTCAATTTCTATTGTATTCCTATTAATCGTGATTCCCGGATATCAAAAAATTTCTCTTGTACCAAACACACCCTTAGAGGAGGGAATAAAAGGAGAGGGAATGTGTGGAATGGGGCAGGCATGAATTAAGTGAATTGGGGATCTCTTAGAGCCTAGGGTAGTTGGTTCTGAGGGTGAGTTGAGATCTTTTGGTGTCTTGTTCTTGTATTAGTGTTTGTAAAAGAGGCCATGCCTCCATTAATTCAGTAAATACAGTGTTAAAAATTTGGGTTCCATCAATGTTCTCATTTTTATATATGACATATGACACTGTGTCGGACAGTCACATTTGGGCCTCCATATAATAAAGGTCACATGCCTCTCCTTTTTGGGGAGCTTTCACTTGGATGACTGAAAAAGAAAGTATGGAGGAGTTGATAAATATACAACTAGAGTATAGAGTGAATTTCTTGTTTGGATAAGAGCAATTTGATAATTTTGAGCATAATATTTACCAAAATTTTCCTTCTGGTAGACAGCTGATAAAATATTCACTTTTATGATAGGATTTTCTTCATCTCTTCCTTGATGAGCCATACGTACAACTAAAATAAATTAATAACGTGACCTTTCCTCATGATATCAATTCCATTTTTCTGGCTGACAATAATCTAGTGATCTACTTTGACTACTAACACTCATAAAAACCATTGCAGGCAATGTCAATTTTTAGAAAGACAGAAAGTAAGGTTGAAAGAATTGAGGATGCAATAAATTTTATCAATAACCGGCTTTCAGTGGATAACCCTACTGCTTCAGCCACAAATTTGCTGTCTGCAGATTCTATTACTCTGGCTTCTCAGGATCAATTGACTCCTGCCAGCGCATTAAATTCCTTGGCAAATTGTCATGTGCAAGATGCTGAACTTAACAGTTCATCTGACCAAAATGAAATGAAAATTCCCTCAGAACTCATATCTCATTGTCTAGCTACACTGCTTATGATTCAGGTAAATCATATGAATACTAAATTTGCTGTTTACTGCAAGGATTTTCGTTGACGATCTCCCCTCACTACTTTCTGTTGCTTAGTCGTTTGTACTTTCTGTAGTTTATCAAGACCAACCACAAACCTGTTTTGATTGTTATTATGGACAATCTTCTCCGGTTCTTTTTCCTTAGTCTTATTATTATTTTTTAAATATATTTTAAATATCATATCATGTTCTTTCAGATGGTACTGAGGTCTTTTATTTTTATTATTATTGTTATATTGTTATGGGAAATGACCAATTTATGGAATTCAATATCCTAGGTAAGACTGACTTCTCCATAAGATAGAGACCGATTTGCATCAACTGTTGAAACTCCCTTATTTTGTTTTTGAAGTTGTTATTCCATATTTTAAATTAGAAAGTAGATAAGATCTTCAAAATTAAATTTTACTCCAAGTGCTACAAAATATGGCAGTAGTTATTGTAAACAACTGTTTCTTTTAGAGTACCAATATGGAATAGTTTAACTTATCTCCTGCCTTTATTTGAGATATCTAAGATGTAGACACTTGTCTTGTAAACCGATTTGTCCTGCTACTATTTTGGTTTAGAAAATAAGAACATTTCTCTTTACATCCATGGCAGTATATTTTACCTATGCTGACGAGTAAGTGAATGCTTCAAATTGTCAATCATATAACACAAAAAACCTAGGTAGAAACAAAAGGGACAAAATAACATTACTACAATTTCGCACGTACAATCTATCTGAGATTAATCATAGAATGCAATAGAACGAACATTAAGGATCAAAGAATCATTTTTTAAACCAAAAAGTGGCATTGTGACAATGTCATATTTTACTTTTCTCTCAAAGCGGCATTTTTCAAATCCATGCTGTATAAACTATAGCTTTTTATTATCCTGCAAAAATAGCCACTGGTATTAGCTTGATAAATGAGTGGTTCATTTAGTAAACGGATGATCAATTATGTAATAATGCAACAATTTAGGAAATTAGGATAGGGATGCAGCTTGGTTATAGCAGGTCTGGACCCCTAGTATAGGTGATACCTTTGCTCGTGCTGCACTGTTGCATGCTAACTTGAATTTAATTTCATTTGTTATCTGAATCTCAGAAAAAGAAATAATGCAGAAAATATCATTTGTTTCATTATTTTTCTACAACATTGAAATTTTCTTCATATCTTCTACTGAATGTTTTAAATTTCGAACTTCTGTTTTGTCTTGTCTATTTAAACATTGTTCTTGCTACCTCTTTCAATTCAAAAATTGTCTTTTATTCTATAAACGACATGAATCTCTTGTCAGCTTCTTATTCATAAAAGCAATCAAATAGATGACCATTCACAAAGTTAGTTTTATCTAAGTGATTGCATGCGACAAAAGATATTCCGAGTGTAGATTTAGTAGTTACATGCTAATTAAATATTGAGAAATTCAGTATTAGGATCAATTAGTTGTCCTATTCAAGATTCTTTACCTGCACCCTGATATATCTTTTTGATAAAACAAAATGCAGAAGTGTACAGAACGACAATTTCCCCCAGCTGATGTTGCTCAGGTACTAGATTGTGCTGTAACCAGTTTGCAACCTTTTTGTTCAAGGAATCTTCCAATATATGGTGAGATACAGAAATGCATGGGTATCATAAGAAATCAAATATTGGCACTCATACCTACCTAGCTTGGACTCCTTCCTCTGTTATTTGTAAATCTGCAATACTAAGGTATTAGTCTGGTTCATCTCACGGTGTTGTGAGTTCTAAGGAGGCTCGTAAGACATGCCCACCTCCATTGCGACCCATACATTTCATATTAACATTTGTAGGAAAAAAAAAATAAACTAATTATAAACTGGTTGTACTACAGGTGTAGCCAGAAGAAAAGGGAAGATTATACTACATCTTATTCTCTTTACAGATGTACATAATTTTTAAGGATCTAATTCTAATCATAGCGAGAGACTAGCATGTAGCATGCTCCATTCAGCACCAATACTCTGTATGATGCCAGGGTATTAAAATGCCATAAGCTTTATGTATGCTTTATGTATGCTATTGCCAACTGTGAACACGATGATTAGTATATATCTTCAAGATTTTTTATTTTTTTTCATGCCGTCTTGATGTCTTGTACATCTCAAATTCTGATAGATAACGATTTAAATGTTGCTATAAAATGTGATTTGGTACTTAGTAGGTGCAATTGTAGGCCCTCTTATTATACCAATATACGCAGCTTTGTAAAGATGATTTGGAAATGTTACTAAGCCAAGCAAGAACTATACCGGGCTACCGCCCAACCCAAATCTACTTAAAGGATTGTCGCCCCCTCTTAGCCTCAGGCTTCACCTGATATCAGCCCACTCTCTTTGGGCCTCACGGCCCTCTCCCCTCAGGACCTCATCATGTGCATTGTGGGCTTTAACTTGCGGCTTCGGAAATTATTTATGTACAGGTTCTTTTCGTCGAATAAATTACATTACGAAATCATTCATTCCTTACCAAAAATATACAAGTCCTTGGATAACTACAAGTCTACATCGTTTTCTTTCATTTTCATCTGTTTCCATTCACTCTTTCTTCACATTCTCTCAAATTATTTTTAAAATAGAGTCCTTAAATTACACATTTAGCATATGTCCCAATTCTGGTGAAAAATTAATGTCGGTTAAAAAAAAAAACACAAGAAAATATGTACCCAACGCCAATTACTCGACAATACCAAGGGGGAACTTTTTCTAAAGCGAACTAAAGCTAGTCTACAAAACAATAGTATTTCAAATATTTGTCCTCCCATAAAAAAAAAATTCCCCGAAAACTTTGTATCTTCACAATATGGAACGATTACAGAACACGTGCACCCCACTTTGGTTGTATCTATATCAGGAGCACAACATATTTGAAGATAATATGAATGGGGGGGTGATGAATAAATTTGGGACAATCAAAGACTCAATTTACAGGCCTCTTTTTCTCTAGCCTAAAATCTTAAAACAAGGCAATGAAGCAAGAGGCCAATCCAATTGAAATAAAGATGAAATGACCGTGTAAAAGCTCTTTATAATAGCCTGGGCAGATGATGGTTGCCTGTTTCTACGCACAAGTGTGATCATCATAACTGTCCAACTTGTTGAGTCACCAAGGCAATGCAAACTAACCAAGGAAGAACTTGAATACGTCACTCAGTGAAATGATTCCTTCCACGCGCTTGCTCCCAGCTTCCACGATAACAAGCCGTCTGACACCTGAATCCAGGTTAGACAGCAGAGTCCTCAAAAAGAAGTAAATTGGATAACCTAAAAACTAATGCTAAACCAAACTAACAAAAAGCACTACCACTGGTTAAACAACAGTTTTTCAGTCAAATTTCGTTCAGGTTTTTAAGGTTTTGGAGGAGAAAAGTGACATTGCAAAAGTTTATATATAATATATAAACATAAAGCAATTTTCATCATATCCTACCTGGATTTGCCAAACGTTCCATCACTTTATGCAGAGAATCAGATCGCAAACACATCTGACATCGTTGACTTCTGAGTTCATAAGTATTACAAGAATCCTGACCCAACTGCAATGCCTGGACAAACAAAGCATGCAAAAGAGATACTTAGATCTCGAGAATAATATAACTAAAAAACCTCCTTATTCATATAGAATTACCCGAGGTACAACACAACCTTAAACTACACACAGATATTGGCACTATCTTGATATTACAGTTAAAATGCAAGCTTTCTTCCTTATTCTTCAACTAATTTCACAATCAACGTCCGTCAAAACTAAACAAATACAAAAAAAGAATTACTTGAAAACACAAATCCTGACCCTTGCGCATTCAAATTGGAAATTTAAAAAAAATGAACAATGAAGGGTAAACGACCTAAACTATCAATAGCAACCAATGAAAACAGCAATAAAACTTTTCCACCCCAACATCAGAAATGTGACAATTAAAAAGGAATCTAAACAATGGGAAGAAACCAGTAGCATTCAGGAAGCATCCATATACAAATGAATAACAAAATCCTCATCCACTGGCACTAGCAAAAAATTGATTGGTTTCACTACAAATTAGTATACATTGAAATAGTCTGTTTTCACCATGAAAAGAAATAATGCTGTAATTCTGTTCCATGCCGCTGTAGGTAAGCAGCTCAACTAGTAATTCCATCCATAATGCCAGACTAGTCATTAAAGACAATATTGCTCATCCTGTCCAACATCCAGTTTTAACTTCTGATAAAAATATATGCCACTAGGCATGGGCTAGAGATGAGGGTTAGGATCAGCACCACTATGTACCAAAAAGACCTTCTGCCAAACATATCCTACCTATATCAGCAAATCAATCCTGTAGGCTCCCAAGCTTCCAAATCAATGGCACTCACATGGTTGCTGCGATTGAGATGTGAGTAGCGAATTTACCATAAGCTTATATCCATGTTCCCATTACCAAAAAATTCTCCAGAGATCGTGGACATCATATTCTGTACTGATCCTTAAGCTTCATAGTCCAATAGATTTAACCAAACAATTTCAAAATTAATTTAGAGTTCCTGCTATAGACTTTACAGTTCCCTCAAAAACAAAAATATTTTCAAGCTGGATTTATCCAGCATACCATGCATTACATATTAAACAAGTAAACTACAAGCCATTACTTCTCATCTCTCGCATCTTATCTTTCTCAACAATCAAACAGAAAGTTCCTTTGTCCTTTTTCTCCTTTAAGAATTTGTCCCCATTAACTAAAACTCATTTCTCATCTATATATCAGCTGGTACTAACCATCAAAATGCTATAAGCAGGCTTATTGCCTATACTTCTAGTTCCTCGGCCTAACTGTTGATGGCAATTAGGACTCACTTAAGGTACCAACAAAGGTGTATTTTTACCAACATTCATAGGATAAGTTCATCTCTTAACCACAGCTTTCAGTAGAAAAATACATGACAACGGCAAAGTTAACTCTTCATTGACAGAGTGCATTGGAATAAAAAAAAAAAAAAAATCCAAAGTGTTTTTGTACAACAAAAATTGTCAGCAGAAGTTTATTGGAATTGGGGAAAAAAATCTAAACTTACCTGATGAACAGTCATTTCATCAAGATTAATATGTGTATAAGCTCTGTCCTTTGCCAAAGCTGTTATATCACTATAAAGCAAGGAGAGAAGGAAAAATGAGAAAATGGCCAAGACATTGTAAAGAATGAACTGATAGGACAATTTAATGCATCAACTACAGATTGATTCCAAATATCTCAAACAAGGCATCAACAAGTATATTAATAAGGATAAAAACAACTAACCTCCGACAATATATATCCAGCAATGAGTCACTATCATCAACTATTGGTATTGAACTTACTCGAGCTACAAAGCAAAGGACAAAATGTTATGCAATTATAATTACGTCAATATAAGCAAACATTTATTTAATATTTCACAGATTAATTCAGAAAATGGATTAAAGATTCATCTTTTTTGTTGTTTAATCACACCAAGAAAAAACCCTTCTTCTCAAAGGGGGAGATAATGTCCTCTACCATCAGTCTAATGCCTCAAAAATATAATAGGATACCAAATTATTTATTCTTTCTATCTGTTGCTTTTCTTTTTGGTTCAATATGTTCAAGGTCAGACAAAGAAATCACACCTTGAATTAATAAGTTTAGGGCTGAAGTAAGCGAAGCACTTGGTCTCAACATTGCTAGAGGCCGGTGATTTGACTCCCCAATTTTGGGCACCCATGTGCCCACAGGAATTGCACAAATTGGAAGTTGAAGTATAGGCAATGAACTAGAACAATGCCGAAAATACCTGCAAATGCCTGAAAAATCAATTTGGTAAGAATGCAGCATACTTAGCAACAGCAACAAGAAAGTTGTAAAAAAACTTACATTTAAGTATTCCTGAAAGGGAAGCAAGATGTAGTAGCTGTGGAAATGAACCATCTTCAGAAGATGAATGGATGATAGGAACTGTTGAAACTTCATTTTGCAGGATCTTCACTGCAATATCTTTCAAGTTATCATACGGCCCTGCCTGCATGATAAATGAAAATGACCAATACAGAGAGGTCATCATATAACAATTACAGACACTTCCCAATACAGATGCACATCAAGCATAGTAAGATATAAAGCAGGGTAGTTATTGGGCAAAGTTTTACACAGCCCAAGGAGGAGCTTCATCAATTCCAAGTTCCACCATTAAAATAAGTTGGCTAACCGCATAGTTGGTGCAAAAGAGAGGTACTTTTGATTAAAGGATATAATGATAATAGTCACTGACTTGATTATTTCATGATTGACTAAACATTGATACAAGACAAAGCAAAGATATGTTTGCAGGAAGATTGCAAAAGGAACCTTAATGTCTAGAAAATTAACATACAAGATCCTCTGCCTTCCAATTTTGGAAACAATCTCCTTATACATTCCCAGCCTTGACTGCCAATAAACGCATGGTACAGTGAATTTAACTTCAATAACTCAATAAATAAACAAAAGATAAAAGAGTAATGAAAGCAAAATAGTATTCCTTCATGTTTGTTTGATGAGGAAAAAGTCAAAATTAAGTAGACACATGACACAGTTTCTTCTCAGTCTGAACAAGGAATTTGCATTAAATATTTGACCATTTAAGCTCTAATACATTGCTAATATACTCTTTCATGTTCATGATACCATCTACTCTGATTCTTAAATTTAAAGAAACAAGAGTATTTGCATTTTCATTTGGGTTCATCTACCACTAACCCCAATTAGTTTGGGATAAAGGTGTTGTTGATGTTGATGTTGAAGAGTATTTGCATTTGCATATGCCTGTGTTCCCGATCATCTTAGTGAAAGATTACCCAAAAAAAATAATTAATTTAGATCAAGTTCACAGTAATTAAAATAGATATTACAGAAGTTCATTCTGTGGATGCACAAACACACACACACACACAAAAAGCCGCTGAAACTTTTCCAATTTAGTTCTTTATGTTTTGCTTGATCCTATTACAAACAAAATCGGCATTTAGTTTCTATCTTTATTTTTGTCCCAAAAGCATCAAAACAGTCCATGTCTCGTTCAAAGGTTTGTTCCGAAAAACAAATACAAATAGTAGGTTACACAAGTAAACTTAAAAGAAAATAAAATGAAGTGATATTTGAAGGTCATAAAAGTATGTATGAGATTAAAAAGGGTTTAATATTTCTCATGTTGTAGGAGATAAAATTTATTTCCTACACACATATAAAAGTGTGTGGGGCCCATGTGAGGAGAAGAGAGAGAGAGAGAAAACATGATACCCATACACTTTTAGGAGATAAATTTATTTCCTACAAATTTATCTTCTATAACATATAACATGAGAAACAATAAACCCAATTAAAAATTAGATAAATTGATATTTCTGAATAATTAAACTCTATTTTCCCTCTCCGTTCCCTTTGTTTTAATCCAGCATCATAAGCAAGATCTATATCAGTGATAAACAAATGTTGTCATGCAATCCTGCAGCATAAGCTTCAAGTTTATCTTCGTGAACAGACCTCTTATGTCAATTTTTCTTCATTTCTTCCTTTTTTCATGCTGCAGACTCTATACTACATCAGGCCGGAGTTACCCAGGGCTAGAAGTTATCAAAAGATAAAAAAACATTTCCAAATCTATAATTAACCGAGGCTACTCGCTGTACAGCACAAAAAATGAGCACCCTCATATATACACTTTACAAGCCAAAATATGCTAGTAAAAACATGAGCATTATCACACAGCAACATCACAAAAAGCCATATAAAACACTTACATAGACAAAACGTCTTGGAAATGCTGTCCATTTTCCTTCTTTCCAAGCTGAAATGGTGTGTGTTTCAAGCTCCTCTTCAGTCAGATTGGACCCATGATTCCCTAGCTGAGAAAAGGACAATAACAAGTATTAAACATTATGAAATGTTGAAGATGGATGAACTTTACAAGTAGAATGTGCAGTATGTCATCATTTGGAAAATCTTGAATTTGATTCTCAACAACTAATTTATGGAACCCAGCTCATATTATGCTGGAAACTGCTTAAAATCAATATCTTTAGAGACTCTTCAAGGAACTTCATGCAATCCAAAGGTTGGAAATATCCAGGAAGACAGACCAAAGAGTTCAAATTCTGCAGTGGCTTTTTACAAAAAGAGTAATCATATCCATATTCAACAGCAAATAACCACAAATAAAATGTTCGTAATAATAAGTTGGTATTGTTTCAGCAAACAACATGAAGAGTCAATTGATCATTTTATTCACTATCAATTGCTCAAACATTATTAAGATTCTTCGGTCTATAATTTTAGTAATTAGGTCCGACCATTTATTGATGGAGCTCACTATGTGTCAAAGCTCTGAGATACATGCAAGAAGATGATTGCACTAGAAACTAGTCCAGACATGCAACTAGACTACTTCGAAAGAATATGTAGCCATGGGCCCACCTTTTTATAAGTCTATAACCAAGCAATAGTTACTTCATTTTAGATATACTTTTTCCTTTTACCTTTTGATATACTTTTTCCTTTACCTTTTGTTACCAGGTTCTATAATTTATCATCCATATTGTATATGAGGTATTTTAGCCTTTCTAAGTCACTTGGAGTCTACGTAAGCCATGATGACAAGAGCTTTTCTTTCAGAAAACTAGCCAACACAAAGAGCTGATAGTCTTATACTTAACATACCTCTCTTAAAATTAAAATAAAATCCAAAGCACTTAGAACTCCAACGAACTGCCCCTTGCAGAAGTCCCAAAGAGGAGCCATGGGAATTCCCTGTAAATTACCCAATTCAGAAAAGTTGCATACACAAGCTACTAATCAGCAACAAATAAACACAAAGTAACACTACAAATGAGAAAGCTATAGCATACAATGCAAGAAGCACAAGACTTAAAACATTGTCAAAGCAAGAAGCTTCTGAAACAACTGCTCAAATTCCACAATAGAACTCAAAAAACATATAAGTCATTTCTCATCTATTTATCAGGGTAAAGGCAAGGAAGTTACATACAGTAATCAAACATATTTATAGAATAATTATTCAGTACATTTGAAAAAGTTTTCTGCTTGAAATCTAGCCCAAGCAAAGATACCTGCTCATGCAGTATGTGAAATGCCTGTTTCACTGGCAGATCAACATCCAAGGCAACAACCTGTGGTCAGATGTCACTAAATTAGTAAATTGCATGGTAGTAGGTTTGACAACAGCAAATTGTAAAGTCCAAAATAAAGGGTCAATGGTAAAAGTTCCAAACCTTGCCTGACTCGGGAAGTAATTCATAAGCTGTGCGCATAGACAGGAATGCAGAAATACGCTGACGGGAGGTCTGTACATCAACATCTGATATTCTCGGCAACACTTCACTCAATGCACCATCTGTCAACCGGACCTGAGCAATGAAATTTCATATACAAATAAACAATAATACAATTTTAGACATGAGCAAAAATCAGATTCTAAAATTAAAAAAAAAATGTGCTACAATACATTGTAAGAGAATAATATGGGTTAAATATTTCTAATGTGGCTCCAAATAGAAGACTCAATAGACCTACGTAAATGAGAATTAGTGTACTGAAAGGCATTAACATATAACAACATGGATCTATGAGTTCTAAAATAGTACAATCTCCAGACAGGAGCACTGTTCTTTAAATTTAAGTCCAACGTACAACAAATCCATAAGCCAACATACAAAGAGTATCCATGCTCATAACAAAAATCACAAGTGTCAAGGTATGACTAACTATTACCACACGCTGAAAAGCCTCATTAACATATAACAACATGGATCTATGAGTTCTAAAATAGTACAATCTCCAGACAGGAGCACTGTTCTTTAAATTTAAGTCCAACGTACAACAAATCCATAAGCCAACATACAAAGAGTATCCATGCTTATAACAAAAATCACAAGTGTCAAGGTATGACTAACTATTACCACACGCTGAAAAGCCTCATTATCCACATCCATGTTAGATCCAGAAACTATATCTGGAGTTAAAACAGGTACCAAATTAGGCTCGGTAGCCAGTAAAACAGTGTTAACCATTCCATATTCTCCAGATATAAAAGGTTGATGCTCGTCATGCCGCCATTCTCCATCAACAAAAAACTTGTACTGCATTCAAATAACTATATGGTAAGTATCTAGCCATCCAGAATAAAGGTCAAACATTTTCTCAAATTGTATCTTTTTTAATTCCATTAGCATGTGTCATAATTAAACACTTGAATCTCAAATATAAGCAGTATATTACTTCTAAAAGAACACTCATTGGGAAAACGAAACATCTGAAAACAAAATATTAAAAAAGCTAAAATTATGAATAGATCTTGTATTCTAAACCTCTATAATAACCTCACTCACCATTTCCCTTATGCTTCCATATTAACCCGACCGTCCAGAGTTCAAAGAAAGTCATGAATTTTATACTTGCTATTATCATTAATATAGAGCTCAGTGCCGTTACCCTCTGTATGCCAGAGGAACATTTTGTCACCAAAACATCTTTCTAAATAATAGAGAATAAAAATTATGAATCCACAAAACCAGACGACCACACACATATATACATATAATTTAGAAAGAATGTGAGACTTTCACTCAATCATCATCATCAAGTACCATCACAGCACTATAAACTAACCTGATGATAACCAGGGGCCAAGCTATGAATAACTTGAAACACAGTTGGGCAACCTTCGACCGGCGACATTCGTAGAAACTCAGACCACCTTGGGGACAAAATTTAAATTTCTTTTTAGAAAAGAAAAAAACACGAGCAGAGTGACATCAATCCCGCGAAAACCAACACTAAATCATACAGAACTAGTGCTTATTTCACCAAAATGGGCACTGAAGAATTAAGGTGTAGTAATTTACAAAAGACGCACCGTGTGAAGGAACCACTGAGATACACACTTCTGCCCCCATATGGCCACACAAACCGCATGGGAATTAACACCGTCCCTGCAACACCACTCGCATCCCTCGCAGAATCCATACTCGGACTGAACATTCCGCCTCGAAATTGAGAGTGCTACACTGAGAATACCCTCCAAGCAATAAACTTCATCGCATCATCTCAGCTTGTTCAATTCGTAGAGAGCAAATTCGACCAAATGCACCACCAATTCAATGCACTACGAAGCCAAAAAAAAAGGAAAAGAAAAAATCGTCCCGAATCAAAATCCTAAAGAGAGAAAAAAAAAAAAAAGTTAAAATTTTGATGCTTTGTTTCACGAAAAAATCGAAAACAGCTAGTGCCCATTGCTCACTGCAACAGAACCGAATAAAGTTTTGAAGCGGGTACGAAAATAAACACCCCAATTTGCATGCAACAAACCCATTGACTAGAAGACACAAAACCCTAACCCTAAATCGAAAAAAAACGTACCAAATCGAACCTCGAACATCCACCAAATTAAGAAATTCTGGCGAAAAAAGAAGGCACGTAGAGGGAATAAAAAAAATAAAAAAGGAATAGCAACCCTATTGATACATAAGAGGAAACAAGTTGGGAAAATCGAGATGGGTGAGAACTACGAAAGAATCCAATCATAAAAAAAGACGAAACCTTGAAATAGATGCTGAAAATTTATCACTGAAGCCAAATAAACAAAAATTAAATCTAAAAATAAAAAAAGGAAAAGGGTCAATGAATTTGGAAGCTGTTACTGAATAATCAGTGTCAGATTGTTAAAGGGGAAAATAGAATTTTGTTTTGGTAATAATAATAATAATATTAATAATAATAATTATTATTGTTAACAATAAAGCGGCGGGGTGTAACTGGTTAAACTGTAAAGCATAATAATAACGAGGGTGTGTTGTGTGCACGTGCGATTCTGTCCTCTCGGTGGGTCAAACTAGTATTAATAATGTTGAAGCTTTGGATATCTGTTTATTAATAATTTCTTTTTAATTATTTTTTAACTTACACATCATTAATCACTTAAATACTTATATTGAATCATAACTCCGACTATAAATTGCTTAGTTCATTATAGTAAAATGTGTTTCTGAAATAAATTTAATATTTAATTAATAAATACTGAATGAGATGTTATCGAAGTTAAACATTTTTCATACAAAATAATTTAATCTTTCTCTATAGAACCAACCATATTTACTCAGTTTAATAGTTTACAGGATTACCTTGTCCATCGTGTGTTAAAATATTTTATGTGTGTATTTTAATTCAAACTTTATGCTGATCAAAGCTATTGCACTGTACAATTTTTTAAAGACAAATTTGTGGTTGTCATGTTTTTATTTTGATTTTGCTTGTAAAAATTTATTTAGTTTAGAATAGTTGAATATCTTGTAGAAATGCAATAATGCTTTCTTAGGTCACCGACTTAATTATTGTATTTTAGGATTTCCATCATCTTATGTGAAAAATTGGTCATATGGTCATATTATTTGATCACAATCACCCATATAAAAATTATACAATTTTCTTTCTCTTATCTCATCATCAATAAGTGGTTTTGATCAACAACATGACCATATAACTACTTTTTCACATAAAAGAATACATTCCTATAATGTATCTTAAAGCAAAATAAATGAGAGATTCTTGAATGTATATTACTAAACTATATTTTGTTTTAACTAAATTTTTCAACATCCATGCATCGTATTTGTATGGAATTATAAGAAAAATAATTGAAATTTTAAAATTTTACAAATTTGAACAAGTAATAAATATTACGAATAGCACTGTTACTTTGTATTTTTTTCATTTAAAAATAATAGTAGTTCAAGTTTGTGTGTGTTAATTTAGGAAATTAATAAATATATTTAATTTTAAAAATATAATTATATGTGATCAAATTATCCTTTTATTGTATTAAATATTTTTTATTCCACTTGGTAGAAATACTATGATATAAGGATAAAATTGAAATAATTAATATATTAAACTTTTTTAAGGTGACAAATAATTTAAAATGAATTACAACTTAAAAAATTATAATAATTTTGAGACTGATGAGTTAAAAATATTTTTTTCACACGAATATCATACGAATCAAGATGGCAATATCCGAAAGAATGGAAAACTGCAAATCGAGAGAGGAAAAATCGTAAGTGTGAGGTTTGTGTGATAAAGGAATCGACGGTGCCTAATTAACTTGATAAAGGAAAAAAGGTCCCTTCTTCTTGCCACTATTATAGCTTGGGTGCGAGATATTCATCAATTGTTTATTGCATGAGTTCACGTATCAATACAAATAATTTTGTGCTAAAAACTTGAGATTGGATAAGATTTCCAGGATTCATGAGTTTACTCAAATTTGCGAACAGCTTTTACATTTTATTATTGTGTAGATGTAATCATAAAATATTACAAAAATTTAAAAAAAATTAGTACTTTATTACAGTACATTAAATTAAAAATAATATGTTATCAAAAAAAAAAAAAATTAAAAATAATATAGAAAATAATAATCACTTTCTTGTATTATTATTAGAGTTAAAAAAAATTGTGTATTAGACATATATGATAGTATATAGAGAGATTGATAGACTTAAAAAATAAACTCAAATCCTACTAAGATAAAGGAAATTAATAACTACATATAATTACAACATTAATTACACATAATTGTAATATTTCTAATAATCTCTCCCAAACTAGTGCATATATACAGTCTACTCGATGACCTCTAAAAGCCTTGGTGAAAATATCTACAAGTTAATCAATGACAAATATTGTCTCAATCTCTCCAGACAGAATCTTTCGTCGGATAAAGTGCAATCAATTTCCGATATATTTGGTCCTTACATAAAAGACTGGGTTACATGATATGTGCGTGCTGATTGTCATAAATTAGTTTCATAGGACATTATTTGCAAAGATTGTGTTCTTTAATGAATTGCTTTAACTAGATAAACTCATAGGTTGTTGCTCTCATTGCCAAAGGATTTCAATGATTTATTTATCAATGGATTGCCAAATGATGTTGTGTAGTTGCGCACCAGTCTTCCTTCAGATAATTGATCTTTAGGAATATCATCAGATTTTGTGGTGAGATGATCCAAATGTTCTTGACCGGTAAACTTGATCTCAACAGAGAAAAACCAAGTCTTATAAGTAAGAAATCTGGTTAGTTTTCTCGTCGTAATAGATGGTACAACAACAGAAGTAAGACCATAAGCACATTTGACTATATACGGGTAGGAAAATAAACTCCAGAGACACCAGAACTTGAGTATCCCATCACAATGGTCCCAAGTCAAGGTCAAAAACCTACAAAAACACCAAAGAAGATAATGCCGGTAGGATGCACAACAATGAAGATGATGGTTGTTGTGGGCGTAACGGAACTAGGATTTGATGGAAGCTAGGTTTCCCAAAATTTGAGCTCTGGCACTAACTTAGTGTTGAGAAAATTGTATATTGAACATGTACACCATATTACAATGAGTTTTAATTTTCTGACGTGGCGGCATATAAGATGTCTATGCTACATAGACATTATTTTTTTATATAAAAAATGGGACCTGCTAATTTTTTTTTAGAGTAAACACATTTTTTGGTCCCTAACAAAAAACATGGTCCCCACTTTAGTCCCTTACAAAAATAAATTAGTCAGTTAGTCCCTAACAAATTCAAAGTGCACTCATTTTAGTCCTTTTGAGGGACTAATATGGGTCTTTTATGAATTTATGAGGGACCACGATTTCAACTAAATGGGTTCACTTTGAATTTGTTAGGGACTAACTGATTAATTTATTTTTGTAAGGGACTAAAGTGGGGACCTTGTTTTTTGTTGGGACCAAAAAGGGTATTTACTCTTTTTTTTAAAAACAAAAAATTACACAGTGCATTCCTGAGAATGCAGTGTGTGTGGCAGAAAATTATTTGCAGAAATACTTTTTTGTATTACAATATACAGAGACGCTAATAATTTTAAAAAATAAAACCAAATCCTAATAAGATAAAGAAAACTAATAACAACAAATAATTACAACATTAATTACATATAATTCTAATATTTTCAACACTTATTTATTTGTTAGAAGGTTTGATGCAAACATAAAAGATAAATATAAAAATAAATATAATTATAGGTCGGATCAATAAACTCATATTTTATATAAAATTATATCAAAATTACATTTCAAAAAGTAATTATAATTTTTTTTTCCACAAAGCAAAAGTAACTTTATTACACACCAAAAAAATGCAGACATGAATCCACACGTTTCCAAATAGTCAATCACATATTATGGATGACAACAATTAACTACTATGTTACTGCAATGAGAATTCATTTTTCATCACCAAAAAGAGACAATTTTATGTATTCATGTTATAAAAAATCAAAAAGAATTGTAACTATTTGGTTTCGTGTCATTGCACTTGAAAACGATTTTAAGTGGTTTTCTTCTTTTCTTTTTGTTCTTTTCTAAAATGCGTTAATCTCTTGCTATTTTAAATATTATGTTATTTACATAACTTAAATTTTTATTTTATTCTATCAAAATAAAATTTATAAAAGGTGAAAAATGAGGTTACATCGGTGTAAATCAAAATTACTTTATAATCATTTAATAATTTTTATTGGCAATTTTCTCTCAAGATTCAGAGTTAGATTAAAAGTTTCTATCACATCGATCGTATTTATAAATATAACATTATTCCATGAATATTCAGTCTTTTATTAATATACATTAAGTATTTGCCGAAAAAAAATATGCATTAAGTTTAAAGATATATATTTTAAAATATATGAAATAAAAAGTAAAAACCATTTAATTGTATTTTCATTTTTGTTCAATTTTTACAAGAGTAAACATAAACAATTAAGGTAATAAATGATGGGTTTTATGAGAATAATGTAACATGATATAAGAAAATTTTCCTACCCTCACAATAAAGAAGAGAGAGAAAGTGGAATGATGAAAGAGAAAAAAAAAAACATGTGGACCCCATCTTTTAATTGTATGTGTAGAAAAGTTTTCTTAAGTTATGCAACATAATACTAATAAAACCCATAAATGATTATAACTTAATGACTTAACCGACAAAAACATTTTATATAAAATTATTAATGGAAAAATATTTCTGCAGTTAATGCAGATAAGTTATCTGCATTTATTCCCAAAACGACGTCGTTTGGGTATTGAAATATTAAAAGATTATAAATATAAAGACTATTATAACCCTAATATAAATTAAAATTACAAAAATACCATGATTTCTGCCCCAAAACGATGTCGTATTGGGCTTACTGCAGATAACTTATCTGCAGTAACTGTAGAAAAAGCGAACCCAATTATTAAATAGTGTAAGAGTATTAAGCAATGTTTTAAAACCCCGCCCCACCCCCGGTTGACCCGGGTCAACCCTGACCCCTCCCCTCTGAGGGTTGGGGTCACAAGTTGGACTCTATATGCATATCGACCCCTCCGACCCTCAAAACCCGACCGGGTTTCAGTGACTCCCGGGTCAGAAGAGTCAAAAGGGGTCATTGTATGTTTTTTTTATTAAAAAAATTCCATGAAACAATATTGTTTAATTAAAAAAATAAATAAAAATGTTTGCAAACCTAAATCTAATTGTTCTCTTCTCTCCTAGTGACCTAAATGTTTTTTTATCTTCATCTCACTGTCGTGAATCTTCTAGAAAAGGTAAGAATTTTAACCCTTCAAATGAAATTCTTACAGTTGTCGATGAA